AAATCAGAGAACCCGGAGAAAAATCCACACCACCACCAAGGGGAGAATATGCAAACTCTAAATATACAGCAGGCGTTAGGGTTGGGATCGAACCCACAGCCTCCTGCACATCAGGCGAGGGAGTTAACATCTCATAGCCACCGTGGCGTGATGCAGTCACAGGCAGGCAGTGACACAATGAACTTCACTCATTACTCAATTGGGACTATGCAGAAACAACCATTGCCCCCTACTGGCAGACTAGCTAAATTTTGAAACTGAGACGACTCTTGATATCTCAACTGGTTAAACAAAATAAACGTGAAACTCATCGATTCCACCACACACGTTGAGGACTCAGTTGTACCGGGTTGTCTGTTTCGCCTCATCCTGTGCGTCCAATCACCACACAGCAGGTCAACACATTTCTCATGTTGCTTTTTTCCTGCTCAGTGACTTTGGAATTCTCTCCCATCGTCTCTTTTTCCCAAGCTCTGACAATAACCTTGCTCAATTTAAGAAAAGTGGTAAACTCTTAACTATTACAACTCCGATCGTGCTGTTGATTGCTAGCCGCTTGCTCTTGTAAGCCTTTGATGTTCTGTGCTCAGCAAACATGTTTATGTACAAAAAGGGGCAGTTTCAAAATAAGGAAACACAGGGAGAAGCTCCGAACACGTGGAGTGACACGTCAGGCATCGAGCCTAACGACACGCGATAGACATCACAGAGTTCCGACGAACTTCAGTCGGTCAGAGATCTGATTCACCAACACCGACACCTTCAAAGAGTATTTAGGACTCTCCTTCTGGAAACCTCAGTAGTTTCACAGAGAGCCAACCACGTGGGCGAATTGTCGAGATCTGCCTGTCCTCCCCGTGGCAATATAAACAGCTTTCTATTATAAAAAAAAACATAATAATTAACCCGTTATCTCCCTGTGCTACACTCGCTCCATTGTGCGCAGTGTTGTTCTGCACACTTTACCATCGGTACAAAGTGGTTTCACTGTTGACATTGTTGGGAAATGGTGTTGTTTGTCTGTAATCGAGCACTTTTGGAGGCGCAGGGTTGACAGTGGCACAGTGATTGTCATGTGTACAAGCTGCGCGCCTTGTAACTCTCAATGGCCACTTACTTGTTTAAACGAAGAATGGCCGAACGGTGAATCAAATCGGTGTGCTTGAGGTCTGAACGTTCAGTTCAGTTTATTTATTAGATGTAGCCCCGTGAGCCATGCGGCTCTTGACTCGGTCGCAACAAACAAAAACATGAACAAAGAACATCTTAAAGTGACTACACGCAACAGAACCATCCAGGAAAAAACAGCAAAAGTCTTCCAAAAAACCCACCGTATATCAATGCTGTGTGCAAAAATCCCAGTGGGATGCAAGTCAAACAATAACAACCATAAGACAATTTATATTAAAGTTATCAGGCTAACTCTGTACTTCAACAAACAAACATGGCTAAACCATACGTTTTCGAAATCACCAAAATAAAGCTATAAAAACAATGTAACAGTGATCATAGGAACTGTGATTCAAATGTAACAATAAACGATATACATAACATGTACGAAGCAAGGATGTTAAAGTTTGTTAAAATAACTAAATTTAGAAATGAAGGGACATGTTTTTTCCAGCCTTCATGCTCGACACCCTGTTGATAACTTAAGACGCCACGTATCTACGTAGTAGGTTGCCGATCGGGAACTGCAAGAGTTGAGTCTTCATGCCAGTGGAGGGATAGAGTATGTTTGTAACAAAGTAAGTGGCTGCGTATTAATTCATCACTCTGGCTCGTGGTGGATCTTGCAAAATCCCGCTCCTTTGTATTGACCGTGAATACGATGTCTCAGAATTGTGTTTGTTTCCTGATCCACGTGATCTCCGTTCTCTCTCTCGCGTGTAATTGCAGGCATGCGCCTCTCCCTTGCTTCTCTGCGCTCTTTTTAGCTTTTGTTCCATTTCCCTTTGTGAGTGGTCACGTTTCTGAGCCCAGGTCATAGTTGGTAGTACACATGGAAAGAACTCTTTCCTCTTCGGCCACAACGGTGCGTGGCTGTTCGCCGTCAGGGAAACCTCACTGGGTGTTCCAAGACACATCTCCAAGAGGCTACTGCATCATCGGGATGTTTGATCATTTTTGTTTAAGAGATGTCTCGCATATGAGAGGGAACCGGAGTGCCCAAAGAGAAGACACATGCACACGATGGCACACTCAAAGGTCCGCACGGCTGGGTCGATGATCCCACTTGCTGTGCTGCCATCTCCCGGAGACCTCGCAGCCCGGCGAGTTTGGGAGTTTCACGAACTCTTGCCTCCCCCGGACGGTGCTTAAATAGATGAGCACCACCACATTAGGCGTGTAGTAGTTGTAGTATTTATAATAGAGGTTTTTTTGCGTTAGATTGCGTAAATAAATAAATGTGTCGTTAAAACCCTCCACCACCCGACACAACCAACACAACATACTAGTAAGGGTTGTCACGTAAACAGAACGTGGCCAATTCGTCACTAGTACAGCACTAACCGGTGTGTTGGAGAGCCAAGCCACAACATTTACAAACTGAGTACGACGTTTCGCGATCTAACCCTTGGACGATATTGGTCGCGAAAGCCTACGTGTTAAGCCAGTAGTAGCATTATTATTATCATATGATAATATTTCAGCCCTTTGTCAGTCCGCTGCTGGATGACGCTGGTCAATGTGGGTTGGTGAAGAAGGGCGCTCAGGATCGGTTCAGATATTGCTCACCGACTGATCTCAACCATGGCAGCCGCTTTCCATCTTTCGCGGTATTCATCGCCTCTCATGGAGAGACCCCTTCCAGATCAGTGTAACGCGTGGTCGGCTTCCCCGACCAAAATCATCCAAAATACAGGGGGGGGGGGGGGTTCTTCCAGGTCCTCACATCGTCCCACCAGCTGATCCGTTTCCCACCAGCACTTTCCTTGCGCAATCACCTTCATCATAACTCCAGCTGACCCTGTGAGGACGCGTACGCCACCTTGCTTCTAATCAGACTTCTTGGTCATTCCTGCGTGTGGCCATTCCCTCTGAGCACCTCTTCAATTGTCTTTGTATCACACCAGCTCCCTCTTTCCATGCTTCGGTAATATTTCTCGACCACGCTGCAGGGTTAATATCGAAGGTTGGTGAATCGTTTACGTGTGGTGCTTTGGGCACTGGCTTGTCAGCGAGGTTAATTTGTATGTGCCCAGAAGACCTTGTTATTACAATCCACGCCGTGTGTTTACGTGAAGGCTATTGCCGATGGGATCGCGCCGTCACGAACCACAACCCAGATTTATCTCACCAGAGGTTATTCCTGAAACTGGCATCTGTACAGAATGAAGAGTGTCACTCGACAATATGAAAATATTTCAGGGATGGCAGCGAGAGCGACACATTTATTTGTTTATTCAGTACAATCCACGTTTAAACAGTCCCTTATTCAAACAAAGTCACACACACGTTCATTAATTTGCTTTATTACAAACCTTCACCGGTCTGTATTTGTCATACAATCTCACTCTCGCAATGGAAACTTGGACATGTGATATTTAATCAGCGATGTAAGCAAGTTAAATATAATTTGCCCCAGACAGATACATAATTTCGACGTTACATAATCAAAAACGCACAACTCGTGATTTGATAACCTGGGTTATACGATTTGCGCGTTTATAAATGTAGTAACTTCCCTACTCGAGGTAAACATTTTACTAACACGAGGATTGGAAGCATGGCTGTGAGTGAAATATGCATCTCAACATCAAGTTTGTACAAGCCCAGTCACGCAAATTGCTTGGAGACTAACTCGGGACGAATGTTTTCGATGCAAAGTTGTTGCTTGAAGCGGCATCAACAGCTGGATCTGTCAGACGGGCAGAAAATCAATCCCCGAAAAAAACATCAACAGCTGGAAAGTGTTTTTAGGCCAAAGCCAAAAATAAATCTCCAGAAGCACCACGTTAATTTCTGTGTAGACGTTTCCCAATTTTGGCAGATTAGTTTTTTATGCTGAACTTTAATATTCTACATGCAATTGAATAGGCTACGAAACAGGCAGAGGGTACACTTCCATCGTGGGATAGACATTTTATTTAAGCTAAAGGATCATTCCTAAAGACTTTCTTTTCTTGCCCTGGATTACTACCGTCATTATTTACACGTAACGTATACACGACCAGCCTACGTACGTCATCGAAAAGTCACCGAGAGCTGCACCAGACACTCACAGAATCAACAAAGCCATTTCACGAGGCAGACTCCTTTTTCGGACTTGGGAACGCAGCCTCGAAAAGCAGTGAAACGCCAGGCTTCACGCCACACCGTCTGCTACTCACAGTACTTACAATCACCCACATTCCATAACCGCTCGTGGATATTTCTGCTTAGACCTTGTCACAAGACCTTGTCGTCTGGCCTGCGGTCCGCACGGAGTGGGTTATATTTAGTCCATGATAGCATGCGCCTGAGCCGGCGATACATAAAGCGTCTTCAATCCGGCCGCCGTTATATATTTAGCCTGTTGTCCCAGTGTGGCTACGCAAACGCTGTCCCCCCTCGGCAGGCCACCCAGAGACCCCCGGCTGGAGACTTCACGTCAACACGCGCACAGAGAGCACCGCAGCTTAGGGGGCCCGTGCACACCTCAGCTTGGCAGGCGGACGACATCCGACTCGAGCCAACGACGCGGCAGCCGGAGGCCCTGCGAGTGGCGTGCGCTCCACCGTCGCGCGTCGTTTTTTCGTTTGTTGCTGCGTGTGGCTGCTTGTGCGACTCTTTCGACCGCGACCTCCAAGTTCGTGGCTTCTCAGCGGAGGGTGTCTGAGCCCGGCTGAGCCCCAGCCAGGGCCTCTATATCTCCCCCACCGCCTCCCCATCACCACCTCATCCGATTAGCACGGTTGGCTTGGTACGGTGCGAAAGAAGTTCAACGTACGTGAGGTGGGTCTGCTCGCTGCGAGGTTCGTCTAACGCGGCTGGCGGCATGTATCTGGTGCTCGTAGCGTCCACGGAGCTCAAGGAGGTGTTCTCCAAGGCGCGCGACGGAGAGATTCGCCTCATCAAGGTCTCCATCAAGGATGGTGAGGGCACAGCGCACCGTGGCACAGCGCAGCAGCTTCCACTGAAAGCCGCGACAAAAGTGATGTTTCCCAAGCGTGGTCTAGATGTCTTGTGACTCCGCATTTAATTATCCAAATCTTAATTGATTTTTTAAAAGTAAAGTTTATTTCCAACAGAAATGAATGTGCAAAGGAAAAAAAAATAATTTGGGGTCACGAGACATCTGGACCACCGTGTAGATGACGAGCCCTTTGGTCCATCCTATTGTTGGATGAGGGCTTCTCCACGCCACGTGAGTTTGAAACATCACCGCGCTGATTTCGTGCAGGGTTGTGAAAACGGGGAATCATAGATGTGGGAGCATAGAAGTACGGCGCAACAATTGATATTGTTGCCCAGCTGTCTGCTCCTCACCACGGGAGTGGAGGAGCTACAAAGGGTAGACACGACACGGCATTGTCGAGAGAGTGGGTGTCTCCCCATACTCATTTGTGCCTTGGGCTCTGCTCAACTCCATTGGTGGTCCTCCTGGCCCAGGGGTCGGCAACCTGAGGCTCTTCCCGGCGTTATTTATGAAAGACCACCATCACATATTCACCGTGTGCATTGCGGCCCTCGAAACATTGAGTTTGTTCCTGAATTCTAAGGGGGAAAAGTGGCTCTTCTTGCTCTGTTGGTTGCCGAACCCTGTCCTGGCCAGCCGTGGGAATTCCGCAATTATATGGTGGGGACATGTCTCACCATGGGACAGAATGTAATTCTGCTCGTATTTGCTTTAACCCATAAAGTAATTAAGGTCTCCCGGTCGTAGAGCACAAAGCAAACCATTAAGTTGCTAAGTGGTTTTTTTTAACAGCCTGAAACAGTGGCAGTTCGTTCACCTGTGAGCTGAATTAATGGTCTCACGCGGGTGATCTAAGGCACTGTTTTCTAACAACCCGGGCACAAGGTGTAACCATAGGTGTGACCAATCAGAGGGTCAAGTCTTATTGCATCGTCCGTGTTGAGGCAGCCTCCACACAATTGCCGGGATTTTGAAAGAAGAGAAAACGTTGCTACTTGATCACCGCGTCCCACCGATATGTGAAGAACAAAATAAACAAGCGGACAATAGCTCTACAATACAACTGGAAATAACTGGGACCCCATAACGTGAATGGCGGGCCCTTACCTGTAAGAGTGGAAGTTCACCAGCGTTGATTCAAGCAGGCCTGCCTCTGCCGACGAGGTATTGTGTCAAACCGAGTGCAGAGTTTGCGTTTCTGGAAACAACGGTGATGAAATTGTGCACTCCCAGAAGGCCGTGTGGCTGGTGGGTTGTGTAAGAAGTATAAATATACATATATTGAACTCGTGACGCTTCCGATTGTGAGTTGCGAGACCTCTAACCGCGAGCACTACTCGGCTGGACTTTGATAGAAGTGCAGCAGAACACATGCCCGTAGAGAAACACAGCAATGTTATCGGTTTACTCTCCTACACACCGGTGTGCTGAACTGGTAATCAATTGCATGTTTTGTTTACGTGACAAACCTTACTAATTGGCTGTGTCGGGTGGTGTTATGTTTAACGACACATTTATATTTACGCGATTTAACCCAACAACAAACACAGCACATGGCATGTTAATTCAATCACTTTGTGCCAGATAAATTACATCTTGTCGGCATTTCGCTCAATAAATAACCTATAATTCAAATGTGAAAGCTATTCTGCGCAAAGGTGTTCATCGCTCGTTGCTATAACCCAAATGACGGCTAATCTAAAATACGTTCACAGTAACACAATTAATTTAAACAACAAGTAAGATGCTTTGGTGACAAAATCCACTCGAGGCAGCCCCCGAGGACATTTTGGGTCTGCAGTAGCTGCAGCCGACAGATGCGAGCCAATGCGGACTGCTGCCAAAGACGTCGTGCCCAGACTCTGCGACCAGTGGTGATGCCATACACTTGAGCTGTCTGCTAGTGGCATCTGTGGCCACTCGTTTAACAAAAGCCTTGACGTCTGGGAGGACTGAATTAGAATGTGCTCCAGTAGAATACAATCATTATTGTTGATTATTTCCAGTAGTCAATGTACGTACTCTCTAAAATAATGATTAACGGTGCTCACTCTAATTGGTTATCCTCAATCAGTGATGGAAATTCCACACTCCCAAGGCAGGGCCATTGCACCCATAGGACAACCGCTATTTACTTGTTACAAAGTGGTAAACAATTGTGTGGACTGTAGACAGATAATGAGTGACCCCACCCCCCCCCCCCCCCCCATAACACTGACCAGGATTTGAACTCGGTTATGGGAATGTCGTCGTCACGTACAAATCGAGTACTCATGTGGAAAACAAACCCACGGCGTTAATTAAAACATTCACGAGTAGTATCGCAGCCGCTTGGCTTCAGCTGATCGGCTCTCGGCGTGCCTTGCGTGACTGACTGCGTCTAATTTAGACCGTTAGGTAATGGACTGGCGAGTCGCATGGCCCGGTAGAGTGACCGTCAACAAACACCGAGTCGCTTAGCGACAACGAAAGTCGCTCGCGCATTCGGTGAGCCCCGCTCACTTCATGGCTTCGCCGGCAGTGCAGCTTTATCAAGGGGTCACCACAGCCCACCACCGTGTTCTCTACCCTGCAAGTACGACACCACAGGTGGGGGAACTCGGTCCTAGAGAGCTCTTCGATCCTGCAAGCGTTCATGAAAGCTCAACACATTCGCCAATGATTCCCATTACCTGAATCGTCACCTGTTAAACAGTACATTTATTCCTCTTGAGTTTGAGTTTTTTTGTGCTTGCGAAGCACTGTCAATTCAGTAGATACTCACTTCATCACTACATGATGCAGATAGCACAATTGAGACATGAATGGTAATGAAACCCAATAAGATACTGTAGCGTCAAAATAAAGTATACGCTTTTGAATCTTTCCATTGGTAACGAAGTCAAACCTACATAACTTAATTTTAGACCAAGAATGCGTATTTATATCTGGATTTTGGAATTTTTGTGGACTGTATATTATGTTTATGTCCTTGGACAATAAATGATAATTAACATTTTTAAACACTTGGTTTCAGCCATTGACGGAGCCATGGAAAGAGTAGGTGGACAGACAGATGTACTTAATATTACATACAATTAATAATGATTTACTTATTCAGCCAGGAAAGCCACATTGACTCATCCAACTCTTTTACATTGGGCTTTTATAATAGAATATGTTGTGAGCCAAATAATGATGAGTTGTGTTCATACAAAGCGGTGGGAGGAAACCAGAGCTCCCAGAGAAAACCCACACGCGCAAGGGGGCAACGCTCTATCCCCGTACCGATGGAAACAGATGCCGATAAGTCCACTTGCTGTACCGCCTTCTCCTGGCGAGCCAGGGTATGGCACCTCCTTGATGCCCACGGGTAGAAGGGAGTTTCACAACAAGATCTGTGCGGCAATCCGCCAACCCTCGCTGCTACCTCAGCAGCGCTGGGTTAGAGACCGCATACAGCAGCAGCAAACCACCGCCGCCCGGCTCAGATGAACGGGGACGAACGGAGGGATGGGTGGCTCTGCACGAACGAGACGCATCTAACTATCGTGTGCGCCGACCGCTTCCGCTTCGCAGAGAAGCTGGTGCTTGCTGCCCAGCGGCGGCCGGGGGGCCCGTGGGAGCGCGACTATGATGCGCTGATGCTGCCCTTGCTGGAGGACAAGCAGCCGACGTACATCCTGCTCCGGCTCGACTCGCGCAACGCCCAGGGCTACGAGTGGCTCTTCATCTCCTGGTCGCCCGACCTCTCGCCGGTGATAACCCTACCCAGCAGCAGCACCGCCACCACCGCCACCACCACCGGCGCCACCAGCACCACCACCGGCGTTAGACTGGGCCAGTTAGAAAAAAGAGTATCGTAAATTTGGTATTCACACATTTCTTATCGCACAAGGCTATCACGAAGGCACGATATTTCTCAGAGGGGTATAGTCTGCTATTAGGGGTGCTATGTTGCTGTGTGATTCGACCCGATTGAGTATTTTTTTTTTTTGCACTATGGTGCCAGTTCACGTAGCCGACTGATTTTTTTTTATAACGTCATGGGATGTTCAATATCCATAGTTGTGCAAAACGCCACATATTTTACGGAAAATACACCCGCAATAGTAAACAGGGCAGCCTGGTCTCAAACCACAAACCTCTAAAATATGCAGCAAAACGCGCGACCACTCGCCCATGTCACCACCAGTGACAGACGTTACAGAGTCTATAACAGATTTATTGTGTAACATCGAAGGCCCCGTGACAAAATTCAATGACTGCTGGCCGTTGTGTTCCAGTGTCTTGACCCGGTCGAGTTTAAATGCGAACTTTGCTGTCACCCATGGTCTTCAGGTGAGACAGAAGATGCTCTACGCTGCAACCAGAGCCACGGTGAAGAATGAGTTTGGTGGAGGCCACATCAAGGAGGAGATGTTTGGGACAGCCCTGGTGAGATACACCTCACATCAACACAAGGATTTCACTCCGGTGTCCTTTGTGACATTTCAGAAGTTGGTTCTTGGCTCTCTCCGGTGTGGTTTCGGTTTGTACCGCGTGTTGTTCAGCACGATGGTTTGTCGAACAACGTGCAGTACAACCCGAAAACACACGCCACCACTATATACAGCACGACCGCAAAAACCTATGTGGTTAGTAGTGGTTCTTGTATTGTCGTTGTGTTGAATGTAGCGGCCTCTAGTGGATGCAGGAGTCACGTGAAGCTGTTACATGAAGCACGTTCAAGTACAAAGTCATTAATTCTCACGTGAATCATTCTATGCATACATTTTGAGCCTCATAATCGCTCCTAGTTGGTTTAATGAGGTTAAAGGGCAATTTCCTACTCCGTGGAGCCTGCTGTGTATTGCACTTTTCTGTTTAAAGCCAGTGGCAATGGCGAAGGCGGTGTTTTGAGTTTTGTTTTTGAACCACCTCCACCACCACTGGCACCATCTCTTCACTATTAACTCAGTTCCTGGTGAAGCAACTCTGTGCCACTCTGTACAAATCACCCCAGGCTTGATGCCCGATCTGGGCGAGTGGGCGTCTGTGTGTGTGTAGTGCGGGTTCGATTCCCGCTCAAGGTCAACACCAGTGATGATTATCTGAACCGATCCTAGGCTGCCCCTAGGCCGCCTCGATTTCAAACGATTACCCGGTGCGGTGTGTAGTAAACATCGCCACTGGGGAGATAAAGGCGGCCGGGCGTTGTGCTGGCCAGCTACCCCGTCATGTGCCGTGCTGGCCTTCATAGGTGCTACTCGCGAACAGCACTTGCCCCAGCAGTCTGTTAAGGCTAAACGGGGGATCTTTGTCTGTGTGTGTGTCTGTGTGCAGGATGACGTGTCCTACAACGGCTACAACAGACATCTACTCGCTCGCTCCGCGCCAGCTCCTCTTACAGCAGCGGAAGAGGAGCTGCAGCGGATAAAATTGAATGAGGTGGCGCTCCCCCCCCCCACCTCATAACCAGGGTTGCGATTTCCGCATGGAAAATGCGGAAGGAGGGTTCAAATTTTCCCGCATTTTTGCTAAAGTCAACCGCAAACGGTGGAAAGACTACTCCTATGACCGCGCGCTTTTAACAACACGTTAATGCGTTCTATTGGAAAGGATACATCATGTACATGTGCTCGTAATCACGGCTCCGCATTTGAATAAAGTATGTGGTTCTTGTGCGGAAATGCGGAAATCATATATTCATTCCAATCAGTAACTCAAAGCCCTACGTGATGCTGGGCCTTGCATGTATCCTTTCCAATAGAACGCATTAACGTGTTGTTAAAAGCGCGCGGTCATAGGAGTAGTCTTTCCACCGTTTGCGGTTGACTTTAGCAAAAATGCGGGAAAATTTGAACCCTCCTTCCGCATTTTCCATGCGGAAATCGCAACCCTGCTCATAACATCATCGTCGGGGGTCTTGAGATGAAAAAAAAATATTTATTTGGCTGCCCAGAAAAGATTCAGTCTCAAGACTCATTGTTAGGATACTGGCTGTACCCAGACGCTGTGCAAAGCCGGTAACAGTGCCTGTGACCAAGTCATCCCGAATGCACTCAATGTCATCATATCTCAAAATCAAAGCAGGCCTGAGCTTGGATAGTGCTTGGATGGGCGACCATCGTGCATGGATGGAAGGCTATAGGCCGGGTCGCTCCGTGGTAGAGGTGGCAGAAGGCAGTGCAGGACAATCCATTGTTGTACTGTTCGTCTATGATCCCAAGGATGTGAAATAGCCATCTCTCTGGGCCCTACGAGTTAACAATCCACGTCGCACTGGCCACTCCCTCTTCAATTGAATGAAAATCTCCATGAATGGGGGGGGGGGGGGAAACTAAGATGTAATTTTTGTTAAAGTGGTAAATGCGGCCACATTTCGCCGGAATTCAACAGCTCAAAAAAACCTTTCAGGTGAACACGGACATCAGCGTGGACAGCAAGCACCAGACGCTGCAAGGCGTGGCCTTCCCCATCGAGGAGAGGGCGTTGGAGGCGCTCTACCGGCTCAAGACTCGCAAGATCAACTACGTGCAGCTGGTGAGTACGGCGGTGACGGCCGGGGCAGCGTGGCTACGGAACGCTGGGGAGCACGGCGGCCGCAGATGTGAGCCTGAAGCAAGAGCGCGGCCTGCCACGTGAGAGTAAAGTGAATAACTGTGGATATTTCTTCGATGGAAATCCGGGTAGTCATCAATAAAACGACACATTTAATATGTCGTTTCATGGACATTGCAGATCAACAATGCTAATTGTAAATATATTGTCCCCCATGGGTTACCTGGATCTTTCTTCATTTCACAAAACTACTTTTAGCTCTCAATTCAAGCAAGTGCTGTGACCGACAGAATCGCATACGGATGAATGACGTTTTCCATATGTACAGAATATTTTATTTTATCAGAAAATTAAATTAATCCTGGAGGAATCCTATGAGCTATGAAACTATTTTTCACACATATCCAGTAGGGGCAGGTAAGAACGTTACAACAACAAACAGTACAAAAATACGAAAGTAATCCAAAGTAGAAGAAAGATAAACAAATCACCCAAACGCATACAAATCAAACTGAACCATCCCCATCCTACCAGGTGAAGCCCGCTGAGATATTAACTTATTGTTCAAAAGCGGCCTGGCCACAAATGATATCTCAACAAAGCGGCTTGTCAATTCGACACTTACAGCAGCAGCAGAATTATCTAAATCAGTCTAAACACTCGCGTACGGAGGGAAATTAAATGATTAAATGGGACAGAGTAGCCTCGGTCTCTGTGTGTGGACGCACCGATCCTCACGGCCGACCACCACCCTGTGCCAGAGCATCGACCTGAACCTGGAGACCATCAACCTGGAGCACACGGAGCGCACGACCGTGGACGAGCTCCCGTGCCGCATCCCGTCGGACGCGGCAGCGCTACCACTTCTTCCTCTTCACGCACATGCACGAGGGGGAGCAGCTGCACTCCGTCGGTACGTGCTAGCACCACGACGCACCTGCCACTCGGCGTAGATTTTGCTCGAACCATCTGGGGGGAGTTCTAGAGAACCGCTATGGAGTTCATCTTCTTAGGGTTTTTTTTCGGTAAAGTCACGTAGGTAAAAAATTAAAATTAATTAATAAAAGTAAATTAAAATAAAATTAAAATCACGACGTTTCGGAGGCAACACAAGCTTCCGTCTTCAGGTGGAACCGTCACAGCACGATTGCTGTATCAAGTAAAAGGAGTTGTTACTGGCCTTCTCTTCCGTGCTGGTCAGGCATCTTGGAATAAATGTGAGTGCCCACACTTTACCCACCAGATCCGACCTGCCAATTGAGGCGCAGCGGTGGTGAGATGTTATCTCCCTCGCCTGGTATGCCAGAGGTCGTGGGTTCGATCCTGACCCTGACACCTGCTGGATATTTGGAGTTTGCAGTGTCTCTTTCCCCGTGGTCGTGTGGATTTTTCCCCGGATCCTCCTGTTTTCCCCTCCACATTTAGAATCAACATACGTTTAGAGTATTTGGCTGTGACTATAAATTTCCACGTGGGCCTTACCTTGTAAAATAAAAAATAGATTATAGTCTTTTTATCTCGGTGAACCCATTTACGCGGCTGGGTCGACAGAGGCTCGAGGTTAGGTGGGGGGGGCAGGGGGGGATTAATAAACTTGACCCATTGTTTCAACTGCCACGCCGGGAGATAGGACTCAATCCGGTGACTTCTGGGTTGTGCTGTGACTTGGAGACACCCGTTAAAGTGAGCACTTTTCCGCGTCGCTCGATTGTGCCAAAGGGACACTGACTGAGCAGCCCTTGCCTGAACGGCCTGTGAGGCGAATTGTGGTGTCTTGTGTGTGTGTGCGAGTGTGCCAGTGTTAGTGTTTATTGTCGCTGTTTGTAATCATGCTCAGACTGGTGACCATTCACGTTCAAACCAATTATAACCCTTTCTGTAAACGATGGCAAACTCATTAAACAGAAGAGTGTGTGCTGGCTGAAAACAAAGAAGGGTAATTTCACACACATTGTGGCCATCGCACTTGTCTCTGGCTTGAGGACCACCCTTTTCACGCATTATTACCGTTCCTCTTACCCTTAGAGCTGTTTGTATACATGTGCAGCCTGTAGTCCAGCAGCTTCGAGCGTTTACGCATCCGTGCGATACATCAACCGTTGCCTCCAAAGTTCTGGATCTCAGGTGTGCACACACTCCCGCACGCCATCAGCCGCAGCAGTAGATTGGCGTGGTTGGTATGGGCACCGGTGCAATAAATTCAGAATCAGAATCTTGATTCTGCTGGAGGACGAATCCGATGAGCTGTGAAGCTCTTTTTCGCAGGGGTCCATTGTAGGGGCACGGGGTAAGAAAAGTAACAACAACAAACAGTACCAACACACAATAGGAGTGCAAAGTATAGGAAAGGTTAACAAATCACACAAAAAGTATTGATAGGGTGTGGCTCGAGATACATTTCATCTCATAGACCGGCACCTGGGCCCCTTCGTTCATGTGCCCCCGTGCAGTTGCACCGCCTGCACGCGCGATAGGCAGCTACGTCGCCCATTACAGGTGTTCACGCATCACTGCATTCACGAAGTGGTGGGGCGCTTGCCAGAGGTCGCAACCGGGTACCCGATACCCGTACCCTACCCGATACCCGGCTACCCGTACCCGACCGGGTATGGGTACGGGTACCCGTTTGCGACCCTGGTGCGGCTGGGTACGGGTACAGGTAGGCCGCGAGTCACTGGTGAGTCACCGTTTGTCACTCATTTCGGGTAGGGTACGGGTACGGGTAGGGAACGGGTACCCATTTGCGACCCTGGTGCGGCCGGGTACGGGTAAGGAATCAAAACCCGTTTGCGACTTCTGGCGCTTGCTCGTTGGAACGGTTGACATCGTCGTGGTGGCTGCTTCCACCCCACAGTGTTCATCTACTCTATGCCCGGGTACAAGTGCAGCATCAAGGAGCGCATGCTGTACTCCAGCTGCAAGAGTTCGCTGCTGGACGTCGCTGAGAAGAAGATCGGCCTGGACGTCGCCAAGAAGGCAAGCGGGTTCCCTCAGAGCCACACTCACGGCGGATACATCCCACACAGCCTCGATCATACAGCTGTCACCTATCACACAGCTGCTCCCTCTCACGAAGCCTCCCCCCTATCGTACAGCCGCCCTTGTCACAATGCCTCCGTCTGTCGCGCAGCATGCCCCTTTTACGCAGTCACTCCATCTCACACAGCTGCTGCCTCTGTCACACAGCCACCCTCTATGACACAGCTGCCCTCAATTGTAGCTGCCCCCTCTCCAATGGCTGCCCCTTCTCCATTCTCCTCTGACAGCTGCCCCCTTCTCAGCTTCCCTTATTCTCATCACCCCCCTCTCCTTTCCCACAGATAGCTGCTCTCACACCATCTCACATGTTTTGCACCTCCAATGAGCACAGTTGGATGTGTACGATGCGAAAGAAGTTGAACATGCAAGTTGAACATGCATACACGTACAGCCATCTCCACCGGCCGTGTGATATGGAAGTAAATAAGAATGCAAAACAAACAATATTAATCATTCTCCCTCTAAGCCTGCTTACCTTACTCCCCTCCCTTCGTACTCATTGACATGTAAATGTTTTCCCTACCCCCTCCCTCTCTCTGCCTCCGCCCCCCTCTGTCTATTTAAGGCCACCCCACAGAGACGATCACCTCTCTCTGTACCTGGGTTGCTCTCTCTATGTATCTTGGTGATATCTGTCTGCTTATATGTCTGTCTATAGTTTTCTGGTTATATTCTATGTCGCTATTTCATTATACCTGATGATGATTGCTTGTGTTGCAATCGAAACGTCGTATGCTATTATTTAATTTATTATTTTATTTTTATACGTGACTTTACCGAAAAAAACAATGAATAATTCCTGCAGTCACGAAAGCTCCAAAATTAAGATTAAACAATATTAAACATCACACACCCATGGCTCTTACAGCCACTCTTTCACATCGTAACCCTCTTTGCAAGCACCACCTCTCAGCAATCCCCCTCACCGTTATCCACCCCGCACAGCCATCCTCCCTTTTGAGCAGTCCCTTTACAGAACCAACCCCTCCTAAAATCACCCTCCTCCTCATTGAGAGTCAATCTTAGCTGTGCTTCTCGCAGCTGTGTCCCCTCGATTATCCTCCGTGCAGTAATTCTCTCTCTCACGACGGCCATCTCGACGATGTCCCCACAGCTGCTGCTGCTGACCATCCTCATCAGCGTCCCCGCAGCCACTGTAACAGCCACTCACCCCCTCTGTCACCCTCTTTACCGCTGACTCACCCCTCATAGCCGGCACTCCTCACAGCCGTTACCTCTCACCCACTCCCCTCTCAGACACCCTTCCCGAACAGTCGCCCTCATAACAGCCACCATACCCTCACAGCGGATCTTCCTTCAGATGTTAACTACCGCGCCTGGTGTACAAGGTGGTCGTGGGTTCGAACCTGACCCCTGCATATTCACCCCTTGACCTCTCCCTTTCTCCCTCCTTGTCCTCACCACAGCTTCAGCTGGAGATTGACGACGGCGCGGAGCTGACGACTGAGTTCCTTTACGAAGAGGTCCACCCGAGGGAACTTGCCTACGCGCAGGCGTTTGCCAAGCCGCGTGGGCCTTCTGGCAAACGCGGACTCAGGCGCATCATCCGCAACTCGGGTCTGTCGCAGCTCTCCGACGAGTGAAGGACGTCGGTGGGCCGTGGAACGCGCTCGCGCCTGCAGCCGGCAGGACGGCGGGGAGGCATTGATGGGGGTCACGGGTCGTTGTGAGAAACGAACAGCAAAGAAAATGGGCCGTGGTGGTTTGGGCCAGATTTTTGTTTTGTTCTCTTTGTGTTGGTGGGCTGGGGGGGGAAAGGTTCATGGTTCAAGAGGCCCCTTGCTTGAGTTTCGTTGGTAGCAAAATGTGTCTGAGAGACGGCCCAATGAGCCACTTTTTTTCTGCCGTGGTGGCAGAAACCATGCCCTATATGTCTGCTGTTTAGGAAGGGAACGGATCTCAGTAACAAAATTTGTTGAGAAAATACCAAAAAAAACTTTACTACAGATAGTGCTTGTACATGCATTGTCGCATACGAGTGTCGCGTTTGGAACGTTTGTCGCGCGAGGGTGTCTTTCCGCGTAGTTTTTTTGTGTTGCATAAGGTAAAGTTAAATAACATCATTGAGAAGAAACACATTAGTTACTAATAAGGCCGCGGACTCATCGACCGTGAGAACTGAGAAAGGTTTATAAAAGCAAATCGGTGGCTTTAAAGCAGAAACGATGGTGTGAAAAGGCGTTTGTCATGCGGTGTAGTGAGCGATGCTCTTAAGAGATTTGTGCGTGAATGCAAAGCAAAACATATACGGCACTATTTTTGTTGCTTGACCGAGAAGTGACTTTAACCACTAAGTGCTATCATTCCAATGTCTGTAGACCTGCACAATGACTTGATTTAAATTGGGGGTGTTGATTTACAGCAATTTTTTTTTACTGAAGCCAGCTGCATCAACATTTTCATCAAAATGTTGATATCCCAGTTTAAAATGCAACTCTAGAAAACAATAATACCACGCTACGTAATAATTGCATAATGATGGGTTCTTTTAACAGTGTGGCCTTCATACGTTATGTTATTGGACATTTTGTGTTAGCCAGTGCACCTTTGTTTCAGTTCTTGGGAGTTTTATTCAATATAGATCAAGCTGATGCCATGGTTAATTCGAGAGGGAGTTTGAGTGGTATGTTTATATTTTACACTGAATTACACCTTCAATATTATATTCTCATAATCGATCTTGTAGCTATTTCTCAGCCTCATAACTCCGATGGGCAATGATTGGAACACAAAACAGCTAGCAATGTCTGCCTGAAATGCTTTGGTTTCTAACACTGACAGTTAAACACAATGGGCAATCGGAGGTTTGAGTAACATGAAATGGCATCATCGCATTCCCATGTTTAAACGAACACTGGGCAGTGCTTATTTTTATTGTTGATCCTGAGCCAGTGGCAGAAATTCCACATTGCTATGGTGCAGCCTCAGTGGACGGTGCTTGTATTACCAAACTGCAGAGAAATTATGATGGTTATGATTGATGATGATGGTGATAATTGACGGATTGCGTTGACCCTGACCAGGATTTAAACTCACATTCTCGTAGGTGTGAGCCCTGCTGCTCTACCCACTGAGCTACATAATTTTTCTTCGATGCAATACCCAACATTTATATTTAAACCCTTCCATAATAAGATTCTATACATCCAATATTGTATGATATTCATTTGTATTTCTATGCACCGGTGATGTGATAAACTAAGTGAATTGATGCTAAATTCGTTTCTCAGTCCGCTTGTCCTGGTGAGGGTCGTGGTGGCAGCATGTTGAGTAGGGCGGTCCACACCTCCATTTCCCTGACGACAGACTCCAGTACTACTACACTATACGCTACTATACACTACACTATACGCTACTCTACACTACATTATACACTACTATACACAGACTCTAGCTCTTCCTAGGGAATTCCCAGGCGTTCCCAGGCCAGCCGAGCGACACGGTCCTGCCAGCGTGTCCTGGGCCAGCCCTGGGGCAGAGGTCGCAATCAGGTATCCGATACCCGTACCCTACCCGATACCCGGCTACCCGTACCCGGCCGGGTACGGGTAGCCGTTTGCGACCCTGGTGCGGCCGGGTACGGGTACGCCGTTAGTCACTGGTGATTAACCGTTTGTCACTCATTTCGGGTAGGGTACGGGTACGGGTAGGATACGGCTACCTGTACCCGGCCGGGTACGGGTACGGGTACCCATTTGCGACCCTGGTGCGGCCGGGTACGGGTAAGGAATCAAAACCCGTTTGCGACCTCTGCGCTGGGGTCTTCGCCCAGTGGGCCGTCCTGCCCGCTAGAGTTCCAGGGGGAGTCTACCGGGGGGTATCCTTACCAGGTGCCTGAACCACCCCACTGGCTCCTCTCGATCCTGACGTTAAGTCAGTTGTAGAAATACAAATGTACAGCGCGACGTCAATCCTCTTGCTGGATGAAGGCCTCCCCATGATCTTGGTCACATGGGTTGTTTGAGGAAACTTCACACTGGTCGATGCAGGTCGGCGAAAGAGGAAGTCCAGAACATGGTGCAAATATCACCCGCCACTGAGGTTAGCCGTGGCTGGGAATCGAACTCAGGGCACCGGGTTCGTAGTGCAGTCGGTTATGTATAAAACGAATAAGGTTATAAGTGTGAGCCTGTGATTATATAGTGTTCTATTGTTAGAACTTTATGACCACCCCTTGTGTTGACCAATGGTAATTATTTTGGCTCCGGGCCAGAAATTAGGTGGTCATACAAAGTCTTGCTTTACAGGTCTATCAAGTGACTAATTTATGAAAGATATATTAATCTACAGTACATATTATTAAGTAGCAACTTCATCGCAATTGATTGATAGATTGATAGACTGAAGAGATCGACTTTGTGGCCTCAAGTCCTGGAGCGTGTTTTCCCTGCTCTACTCTTTTTCTTTTGTTAAATGCAATTGTATTCTGCATGTGTGTATGAAAAGGGAGTGCCTTTTCAAAGTTGTTCATAAATTGTGATAAAATAAATAAAAGGAGTTTGATAAATTGTTGCTATAGTAAACATAGCGTTATCCATTGTTCTACAGGCATAATTATCTATTAATGTTTTGAATAAGGATCTGTTTAATAATGCAACCCGGAACTAATTAGAGGCTCAGCCAGGTACCCCAAATATGAGCATGGTCAGCCACATTCAATGTCGTGTACACAAATAATAGCAGCGTGCAGCAATTGCTCAAGTATAGTTTATTTATCTGCTTCACAGAACTATTGCAATAGTATTAGGAGTGGCGTAAGTGGCATTTCTGAAGGAGCCTGTAATTAAACACGATTTTAATGTCCAGTGAGTCATGTGTCTCAGATGGTTAAATAATGATCTCTGTTAACAAAGATATGAGAGCGCACCTCACGCACGAGGCATCTGCATTGTAGGCATCTCGTCATCAGATGTTGCTTAAAGTTTGTTGCGTATCATTGCATTCGCTTCGTTAGGGTGAGGGTGGTGCTGTAACGTGAATAAACTTCAATGGATTTTCACCAACTTAGGGTGCGACTTTATGGAGAAGGAGGGGTGTGTGAGGATTTTCGTGGCTTTGTGTTTTCTTGTTGTTCTGTTCATCCCAGGCCCCAGATTGAATTTACAAATCGAGGGTTGAGCCTGGTCAGTACTTGAATGTTGTATGGTTGGCAGCTGGCTCTGAGGTTGCCACCAGATGAAAGTACAGCAATGGATTCGTGAATCTCTCTCTATGCAGTGCTTTGAACGTGTCACCCCGTGCTTTATGCATAGGGGTTTTCTGCGGGCTCTATGGATTACCCCCACAGAATGCCAAACGCTCACTATTACAACTTGGTCAACCGTTCCAATGTAGCAAGACCCTCCAGACTCAGCTGGGGCTCCCCAAGGTATAACGCATTACAGCAGTATTATTACTATATCAAAATGCATCTACTGCGGGAGGGACAGTCACAGCCAGATCAGCTGCATCAAGTCTCCGATGACGGAGATTTGTGTTGCCTCCGAAACGTCGTGATCTTTATTTTTATTTTATTTTATTATTTTTATTAATTTTGATGTTTTACCTACGTGACTTTACCGAAAACACCTAAGAATATGATTCCTTGCAGTCACGAAAGCTTCAAGTCTAGAATGCATCTACTGCACCACATTAAGGCAATGCCACCTGCTTTGTGTTCGATTACTACGTTCAGTTTGCCAATCTATCGTAATGATTATAATTATTATATTGAGCCCCTTCATGCCGTGTCAATCACGGGTATTGCTTGACCGTGTGTCACCACACCGGCCAATGCAGGGTGGTGAACGCCTTTATCTTTAAATCTCACCCCTATCCCGCTTACCCTGACCAAACTTGTTTTTGAGGGCCTCTAGAATAGTGCACTTCCAATGGTCAGAATGTACCCACGAATGAGAGGGACGAAATGTGCCTTTAGAATTCACCCATGAGTAATCCAGCTCAGCTGCATCGCTGTAGTCCTAGCTATAAATAATGCGTGCAAAGTCTCTGCATACGTGATGAAAATATAACACGCGATATATTTTTGTCCATACAGTACGGGTACTTTGAGGGACGTTTTTTTATATGTTTTGGACGTTTGCATTGTTGTCAATGGCAAAATTGGCCTGATTGCGTCTGGCCAAGAAAGGCTATATGCAATGTTCACATACATGCACACATAATACAGCGTACAGAATTAAAAACAGTTTCTGAAACCAAACTAAAACTCACAGGGTTTTCGTGACAGTTTAGATGTGTTGTTTCAAATGCAACAAGTTATTATAACCATGAAGCTCCTCAAGTCAGTACTAAAACACAATGTTGACAAAACCATCCCCCACGAATGGCCTTGATTATGATAATTAAAACCTAAATTTGGCAATGGTCTGTGCACAACTTGGCCACAGCCAATTAGTAATTAAAATGGTTTTCATATTTCTCGTTAGTTGAAATGTCGTTAAATTCATCTGATCTCGACATGGCATTCACTGCAGGGGAAGTGAGGATTTCAAGGTAGGGATGGCTAGGTAATGACAAAGTTACGATATGGCTTTGTCTCAGCTGAAACATGTTAAGGAAGGGGCAGTTGGAATATTGTGAGGATTGGAATGTGATCTTCACACAGATAGTCTGGTTGCATGACGAACAGGTTAAGTCGCATTCTTATTCTTGGTTCTTTCGGTAAAGTCACGTAGAAGGGAATATTACAATAATAAAAATAAAACAATAAAATTCTCACGACGTTTCGATTGCAACACAAGAAATCATCAGGTGTGAAACCCACAGCAATAACATGTTTTACCACCACCAAGAAGAACGCAAGAACTCCATGGTGATTAGGAAGTTTATAAAACAAGACCAGTTGACTAAAACGTCAAGATTTGTTTGGTTTCTCGGTGGCAGTAAGATTAATCCTGCTATGCTTAATTAAGTCATAATCATCACCCATGGTCAATCTACTGCTGGATGAACGTCTCCCCATGGTGATCCTACAATGTAATAATTCACCTAGCACCTGCACACGAGCTGATTTCATCGCTCCATCTCATCGGTGAAAGTCCCCTTCAGACATGTTCCGTTCCTTGGCTGCCATTCCATCACTGTTCTTGTATGCCCTGCCCAAGGCCACTTACTTTCCTAAAATCAAATTTATTCAAATTTTATCTTGAGTATAGATTTGATTAATCAGCAACCTCGTAGCTTTTTTCATTCATGAGGACACAGAAATAACTTCAGCTCATATTCAAACCAGTGTGCATTTTTTTCTTAAGTGAGGGTCTCCGCATGGTCCTGGTTTTCCCAACAAGAGGCGTTGAGTACCCTCGTAAGCCAACAGCAACCAGGATGCTCACTTCTGAACTTTTACTTTGCCCTCCCATTGGGCCTCGGGCTCTTGTAACGTACTCACAGCACCTGCTTAAGCACTGTTCAACAGCAGCAAAGCTACTGTGCACACGATTATTTATTTTATTTTATTCACAAGCGTAAACAATCAATAAAATCCTTAAATTGAACCAGACGAAATCTCAATGATATTTGAGTTAGTGACAAGAGAGACTTGGAGTGAAGTGAGGTGTGGGAGACTTCGCTGAACTTTTAGACAAGTGGAATAATGCGTCCAGGATTTTCTTTAAAGAAGACAAACTTTCAACACTTCAATCGATATCGAGAAGTGTAAAGGGGCCGTCCATAAATGACGTCACGCACCTGGGGGGGGGGGGTGTCAAACATTTGTGACAATGTGTGACGAGAGGGGGCGGGTTTGAGAAATGTGACATCACATCAAAATGCGCAGCTTTAAATAAATATAGACAACACGTTCTACTTACTTGAATAGACTTTTTAATACATTTTTCTCCTACAACATCAGAGTGCAGCGCCACATTAAATACGCACTACAATGACAATAGTTTAAAGCGATTTGAAACATGTTTAATTTTTGGGGGGGGGGGCAGAGCTTTGTGACGTCATATTTGAGAGGGGGTCTGACTTTTTGTGACGCCGTGTGACGAGGGAGGGGGGGGTAAAAAATTGTCCAAAATCGCGTGACGTCATTTATGGACGGCCCCAAAGGACAAATGGAAAACGCACATTCAATAAACATTGTGCCCGTTGATCAATTATTGTACAATATATAACGAGTCATATTAAATGTAATGCATCAAAGTCAATTTTTGGACTTACATCATGCTCCAACGTCTATGCTTCCTGCCTTCACCAAAGTGCATTGTCCAGCACAGTAAAGAATGACCATATAACTCCCATGTCCTGCATGGCAGGGGGAGGCCCTCATCCAGAAATGGAATTACAAAAAGAGCTGTAGATGTGCACGTGGTGAGCAGCAATCTTTCTATTAGACGACTCTGACTTCTCGTATGCAGAGCTATCAGATTGGATATCACATCTATTTGCTGTAAAATAATCGAGTTTTTTTACCCAGGATGGCATTTGGTACAATCACTATTTACTGAACTTGCCAATTCAAATCCATTGATGAGATTAGTTCAAATGTCTTCATGGTCTTAAAGTAAAGTATAATCTTTCAAAGAAATGTCAATACATCACTCTTTCTCTCTGCTCTGAAGAATTGGAAATGCCCAGAATAGTGGACTATTTCATATGTTTGGTACAAGGCAGTGTTAATGAAGTGTTGTCCATTGATGCTTCAGCACCACTGCCAAGTGATCCTTATGGCGGTACCCCGGGGTACCAAATAATACAAACTGGCCGTGGCAATTAAATATTTTATTTCTAGGACACTATTTTTTCCAGGGGTATTACTTAACTCCAGGACTGGGGTACCAATCAATCCGAAATAAGTGCCACTCCTGCGATGTCGAAACGCAGCGAGGACGATTGCGCCGAAACCTTGAATGCTCGTCCGCACCGTAGTGGTGCATCGTGTACAGCTCGTCGAGATGAGTCGATTGCCGCATCGCCGACCATCAACAGACTAAAAATGACTGCATCAGGGACATTGTGCAAGAGCCGGGGTACTTTGGTACCCCAGGGTACCGCCATAAGGTTCAAGTCACTAAATTGGTTTGCCTCGACTTGGGAAGACACTTGTGAGGGCTGCACTTTAAAGTGGTTTATACCAGGGGAGGGATACATTATTGGTACACGAGCTATTTACTTACGCAGATTTAAATGGAATCGCGAATGCGTGAAATAAGTGAGGTGCTGCCACCACGAGTTTGAGGCTTATGGCTGGGTGAGCCTTGTAGACTGGGTGAGACTTGTGAGGCTTATGGCTGGGTGAGCCTTGTAGACTGGGTGAGACTTGTGAGGCTTATGGCTGGGTGAGCCTTGTAGACTGGGTGAGACTTGTGAGGCTTATGGCTGGGTGAGCCTTGTAGACTGGGTGAGACTTGTAAGGCTTATGGCTGGATGAGCCTTGTAGACTGGGTGAGACTTGTGAGGCTTATGGCTGGGTGAGCCTTGTAGACTGGGTGAGACTTGTGAGGCTTATGGCTGAGTGAGCCTTGTAGACTGGGTGAGACTTGTGAGGCTTATGGCTGGGTGAGCCTTGTAGACTGGGTGAGACTTGTGAGCTCTGTGGCTGGGTGAGCCTTGTAGACTGGGTGAGACTTGTGAGGCTTATGGCTGGGTGAGCCTTGTAGACTGGGTGAGACTTGTGAGGCTTATGGCTGGGTGAGCCTTGTAGACTGGGTGAGACTTGTGAGGCTTATGGCTGGGTGAGCCTTGTAGACTGGGTGAGACTTGTGAGCTCTGTGGCTGGCTGCTTAACAACTCAAGTAAGTGGTTTATTTATGGTGCTGTGATATGGCCAGCAGATAGTGGTGGTTTTCAGTGTGATTCTCTGGTAGATGCATGGGTTTCCTCTGCATACTCTCGTTTATTTTCACGTGCCACTTTAATCGTATTGACCAACATTCCAAAGCAGTGAATCCTCCGATTAGCAGTTGGCTACGTACTATGGAAAATAAGTTGAGCATACGTACATACACACTAAAACCTTTAAAATATTTGCAGTTAACTAAATATGAATGAAATGTACAGCCATTGATTCACTGCTGGGTTGAAGATCTCTACAAGCTGTCACACATGGGCGTTGTTTGACCATACTTCACCATGCTGGTCAGTGCGGGTTGGTAATGGGTTTGTACAACATTGCGTAAAAAATAACCACACCAAACTGGTAAATGAAGTCCACAACAACCAGGTAATTGTTTCTAAATGTGGAATAGACCCCAATTCTGAGAGATGTCTCTCAAAGGTGGCAGCAGAGGAGTGACCTGCCACTTGCATGGCCCTTTATTATGCAGTGCAACATTTTAATTGATTTATTTGCACCAAACTGAGCTCCCACTGAGGCAACAATAAATTATTCTGATTGCAATCGATCTGAACCTGGGCTCTGAACATTGGGTCAATGTGTGTGCACTTTTACGACACTTCTATGAGACTTTACGACATCCAATCAGTTTTTTTGTATCTTTTACCGCTAATTATTTTGTTCTTTCTGTAACGTAGATAGGTTCTTTGAAACTATTAACCTATCTACGTGACTTTACCGAAAGACCCAAAGAATATTAATTAATGCAGTCACGAAAGCTTTAAGTCAACGTTTACGGCAACTTCACGCTTCACGGCACTTCGCACTCACACTTCACGGCATTTTACGACACCATCGACTCTTCACGACACTTAACGTCGAAGCCTTACGGCAGCGCCGAGGAGGGGGGGGGTGTGTCGCGCGCACGACGGTTTCTCTTTTTTACGACTCTTGATGACGTCGCACAGCGCTTCACGACACTTGTGCAAATATTTACGACGCTGCCGTAAAGACGGTCGGAGGGGGTTTTCACTTCCGGGCAAAAGTCGCCGCAAGGAAGGAGGCAGAGCGGAGGCCGCGAGCTCCCGCCCGAGTCGCCTCCTCGCCACCCTCCTCGCCACCCTCCTCATCACCCTCCTCACCATCCTCCTCACCCTCTCCACCTTCCCCACCCCTCCTTCGAAGTTCTCCGCTCATCGTGCCGACTCGGCGCCAAGATGCTGTACCTGGAGGACTACCTCGAGAGTGAGTATCCACCACCAACACCACCACCCGTGGCGTGATGTTGTCTGCCTCGCCCGGTATGCAGGAGGTCCGTGGGTTCGATCCCGACCCCCTGATGATGCCTGCTGCTGTGTAGTTGGAGTTTGCATGTCCTCTCATCCCGTGGTCGCGTGGATTTGTCTTCACATTTAGAAACGGCACACGCGTTTAGAGTATTTGGCCGTCTATATTCACACTATGAGCCGCTTCGTCGAGCCATCGTTTGTGATGAACCAGATCGCGTTTGAAATGAGCTCCGTGGGTCCTTACCTGTTAAACATGAAAACAAGAGTTGAGTGTAAAGTGGGGGCTGAACGCGCGTGTGCGGCATCTGCTTTGCAGTGATCGAACAGCTGCCCATGGACCTGAGAGACAGATTCACGGAGATGCGGGAGATGGATCTACAGGTGCAGAGTGAGTATCGATTGTGTGACCGTTTGCGTTGCAATCACAATTTTGGTGATACATTTGCATTACTATGAAAACCACACGCTTTCGTCACAGAGATACGCACGGACCTATAGGTGCAGAGTTAGTGCAGGCTGTACATTTTATAGTATACAAATATACTTTATGTTCGCATTAAAATCGTACAAGTATATAACCATAGAAATAGACTTTGCAGATTATTATACACGTATATTGCAATAAAATGCACCTAATATTAGAGAATATTACAGGTGAGCAATGTGGACAGTACGGACTTTATAAATGATAAAAGCAATACACATACGTCTCTCTGGTCGTGTGCGAGTGTAATGCTGGCTGATAGAATTGTGTTATTCGAACAGTACACTGAAACGAGACAGATTCACTGAGATGCGGGAAATAGACTTACAGATGATACAGATACATTGTCTCCTCACCTTGCATTAATTGCACTTGTACTAGAGATCATTACAGTGCATTCAAACAGGAGACGAGTGAGATGGAACTGTGCATGCAGAGGAACCCTTAACATTAATTGTCCTCACAAGCCTGTATTAGAGATGGCTAAAATAGACCTGCATGTGAAGAGTTATGCATCTGCACGAGTATCAATTAGGATAACATGCATTCAAGATAAAGGTGCATTTAAATGAGATGGGCACAGGAGATAAATGAGCTTAACTTGCTGGTGCAGAGCGATTGTCTAACCTCGGCATTTGAGATGGATTTGTTCAGTGTGTCACCACTCGCGGTCATTACACTTCCACGTGTTGGAGCAAAATAGCAACTTTAATGATGGATTCGTAGTTGCTTCATGAGTCCTGCTTTCCCTCAATAATCACTTCTTTCATACTGGAGTAGACGGACCTTTAGGATTTGTGCAGTGCGAAGATTGTTGTGCAAGTGGTGTGAATCAATCCCTTAGCATTAGTTACACATTCATTGACGAGACTACGGGGACCAGATTAGAGAAATGGCAGTGTTTGTATACTGCCATCTCTGTGATCACAGCTCAGCAGCACTACCTTGTGATTATTTAAATATACAGCAATTAAGCAAACTACACTTGTCTAGAGAGTATTTTCCTTGCATAGGTGACTGTCTAAACTCTGCAGAGGCTTCTTAAAATTAACTGGAGGTGATGTGCTTTTTTTTCTCTTCTTGGTTCTTTCGGTAAAGTCACGTAGAATGCAAATAATAAAATAATAAAAATTCAACATAATAAAATAATTCTCACGACGTTTCGGCCACAACGCAAGCAGCCGTCCTCAGGTGGAGAACAGGTCTGTCGAGAAGACAGTCTGAATGACACACCCCAGGCTTGGAGCGTCTATTTAAGCTGGGATGGAGGGGGGAAGAGCTATGCTTTGTGCCTGAAGCTGTTGTTCCCACCACCGTTGGGATAATTGAAAGCAAAAACATTAGCATTTTGAAAAAAGGAACAGCTGAAATGCATCTTAATTATTTTTATTATTACTCTCGAGCAGATGCCATGGATGAGTTGGAGCAGCGGGTGAAAGAATTTTTTGCGAATGCCAAGAAGAACAAACCCGAGTGGCGCGAGGAGCAGATGGAGGCCATCAAAAAGGTGCGCGCAAGGAGAAGAGTCGTCGTGGGCAGAGACTGGGGTGACATCGCTGCGCTTACACACGCCTCACAGTGGCGATGCTCGGTCACAATACCTGTAGTTCGTCGCTTGCGAGATTGAGTTGCGGGATCATACAGATCGTGTGAAACTCCAAACCTGCAGGAGTACGAGGTTGCCAATAGATGGCAGTACAGAAAGTATATTTTTTACCCGATGTGTACTATTTGTTAAGTATTATCCCCATATATGCCTCATGTATTTTCCCAACCGCTTGTCTAAAGTTCCTAAAGCTGCATCCACATCACAATGTTTTGGTGCTTTGTCAATGTTGAAATTAATGTCATTTGCAATTGCTTAAGTACGTGCTCAGGTTTGTGTGAGTGAAACCCCTTTGAAGCATCATTGTTTCTCCTTTCAGGATTATTACAAAGCTCTGGAAGATGCAGATGAGAAGGTGCAGTTATCCAATCAAATCTACGACTTGGTAAGTCCGCTTCAGATGTCATGCCCTGAGGTTCCCTTTATGGAAGGGCAGTAACCTAAGGATGATGGGCTGTACCCAGCCCGTGAATGTTTCATACAACCTGCAGCACAGTTTGAAAAAAAAAAAACCGCTAACAATATTTATTCATCACTGCAAGCGACATAGCTGCACTAATTGGGTACTGGAGGCGAATATTTTCTACTGAGCAATACTGTATTTCTGATTTTTCAGTGACGGAGATGTATGTTTACGTGTGGTGTGCCAAAGATGTTTGAAAGTTGAATTGACCCTCAGCGAGGAAAATGTTTCCTACCCCTGCTTTAAGGCAACAGTGAGTCATGCTGAACTTCTTTCGCGCCGTACGTAGCCAACCGTGCTAATCGTAGGTGCTAATCTGTTGTTTTCCATGGCCTTGCGCTGCTAAACGAGACCGCGCGTGGTGTTGTTGCCGTGCTCCAGGTGGACCGGCACCTGCGGAAGCTCGACCAGGAGCTCGCCAAGTTCAAGATGGAGCTGGAGGCCGACAATGCTGGCATCACCGAGATCCTGGAGCGACGTACGTTGCTCCACACTCCCGTGCCCTCGTCCTGACAAATAATACATTAACAATATATATTTATACTGGACATCTGTAAAAAAAGAGCTTCATAGCTCATTGGATTCCTCCTCCAGTCAAAATAAAGATTCTGATAAGTGATTTCTCTTTGATAATTGTTTTTTTTTTACCCTTTTATCTGGCAACAAAACTGACACCTTTTTTACAAGGAGTCATGTTTGCATAGACCACAATACCTGCAGTCGTAATGCAAAAAAGGGTTATAGGATAAAGGGTAAAATAAAACTATTATCATACTTTTTTCTTCTGGCAAATGAGGTTCCAATGGTGTAAATGATTTCTCTTTGTGATGTGTTCTGATTGATGTCTCTGCGCCTCCACAGGGTCCCTTGAACTGGACACCCCTGCACAGACTCTCAATAACCACCACGTTCACAGCCACACGCGCACTGAGAGTAAGTGTCGGCCTCCATGAACACGCGCTCATGACTATTGTGCTTCTGCTACCGTAAGACTCCAACCCCTCCCGTGTTTGATAGTATGTCACGGACTTGTTGATTAAACTCGATTCTTGTGCTGTCAATGCACGCGGGAAATAGCTCATGTAAAAATGGCTTATTTGTAACGAAGGAAATCCGATGCAAATGTTACCTGTAGGTAAATTATCAAATGAAACAGAACAAACAAGACACTATACACATGACGTGTTACATAAGCCATGCTTATGTGTGCTTTTACCAACTTGCAGAGCGCAAAAACACCGCTAGCCCGTCACCCTACCTCATTGCCGAACACCAGGACAAGAAGTTTAAGTCAGAGGCTCTGCTGTCAACCCTCACAGCTGACAGCAGCAAGGAGAATACTTCAGGTACGTGCGGAACATTGTGAGTATCTGGATTCAGGTCCCCTCTGTGGTTTATTTTAAATAAATATACATGGTTATCCATGTATAGATACATCACTAAAATAATGAGACATTATTGAGAAGACTACATTTTCTTTCAAAGCCTCTACATGTCATATTCTTGGTTCTTTCGGTAAAGTCACGTAGAAGGGAAATAATAAATAATAAAACATATAAAATCAAATAAAACTCTACATGTCTGCCACCAATCTCAATATACTTATGAAATAATTTAACACTCTCCATTAAGACGTTGAGCTATTGCTTTTACAATATCCAGTCGCCTATTGAATGGAACATGGTCATTTTAAATCAGTGGGGTATCTGGGAATGGATCACCATATCTTGTGTGGTTGTTTTATATCGATAACTGACAACACTCAACTATTCACACTAGTTCCCTGTTGGGTGGCCAACGATTGTTGATTTCATATAATCCAGTACTACTGATTGGTACTGGGATTAAATTCCGAACCAATCGTCATTGAGCAAGTCTTTATGCCATCGGTTATCTTTAATAAGTGGGTTTTAATTGGAGAGAGATTGAACCCATTGGAGGTTGTTTTGGGGTAGTGGGACAGTGGAGAAGGAGTGATTTTGCTGCAATGTTTATGCATGGTGGTCACCCATCTAAGCACTACCCAGGATCAACCCTGATGCAATCGTGGGCATTCTGGGTGATTTACTCATAGGCATGCCTAGTTAAGTGGGACTCGGTCTGTTGAAATCAAAACCCCCAACGTGTATGTTAAATATAGAACGTGGGTTTTTTTCCACGCAGGCTACCGCAACAGCACCAGTGGCACTGCCGCTGCAACAGGCGGTAACGCCGCAGCCTACCAGCTGACCACGTCACAGCCGCTGCCCTCCTACAGCCTGACAGCCATCCCAGGCGGCATGGGGGCCGGGGCCATCACGCTAGCTGCTGCCCATGCCGTGCAGGCCACAGCTCAGGTACAAAAATGCCCCCCCCCCCTCCCCCATCCCCTTTCCCACAGTCACTGATGTCACTCTCACACAGGCCAACAGCTGTTCTTCATTGTCACTGTAAAAAGACTTGTTGTGAGCCATGTTTGGATATTGCCAAAATTGCAAAAGGCAATGAGGATTCAGTCGGTACTGCTGTTTCATGACTGGGCTACCTTGCATCCCAGCGGGTTTAGGAGGTTGAATGCAAATGTGTTTGATCTATGATTCATCACCTCCAAAATGCGAGACTCGGATGATAACAATGATTGTGGTGGTGCTAATGACGTTAACTATAATGTTGGTGATAATGATAATACAGTATTGCGGATGCTCGTGATGCTAAGGATGGTAGTGATGATAACAATGGAGATAATTACGATGGTTAGGATGATTGTTATAATGATGGTGGTGACGGCGATGGTTACGCTTGTGTTCCTGCGCTTGCGTCGCGCTCAGATGAAAGAGGGCCGCCGCACGTCGAGCCTCAAAGCGACATACGAAGCACTGAAGAACAGCGACTTCTCGTTGGTGGAGCGAGACTTTCCGCTGCCGCGCGAGGGGCCCGGCCTGGTGCCCGCGCTCGCACAGGCGTCCGCCGCTGCCTCCTCCGCCTCCGCTTCTTCAACGTCTGACTCGCGCAGCGGCCGCAAGAGCAAGTGCGTCGTGCGGTGGTCGGCAAAGCGGACCGCGATTGTGTCTCCTGTTCATATTCTTAGGTTTTTTTCGGTAAAGTCACGTAGGTAAAAGTAAAATAAAAAATAAAATAAAATTGATGGTACCAGGAGGCTTGCAGAGCACCTTAGTCTCCTGGCTACCATCAATTTTTATTTGATTTTTATTTACTTTTACCTACGTGACTTTAGCGAAAAAACCTAAGAATATGAATCCTTGCAGTCACGAAAGCTTCAAATCTAGAATGTGTCTTCTGTGTTTTGCGAACTGACAGACCGGAGCCGTTTCAATAGGCCTGTCTTAACTGACACCTGCAAAGTGCTTGCCACAAGTGAACCACAATACCTCGCTGATCTTGTCACGAAGCATACGCCGTCGCACGAACTCCGGTCGCCCTCACAGCAGCAGCCTTTGGCGAGCCATCGAACAAAGATGGTCACTGCATCACGCGCTTTCAGATGCGCTTCTGTGGCCGTCTGAAATTCTCTTCCTTCCGATATTAAGAAACTATGCACTTTAAAATCTATATTGAAAACCCATTTCTTTAGAACTGCTTTTTGTGTTTAGTTTGTTGTCCTTCCCCCGCACCTTCGATTAGCACGGTTGGCTACGTACGGTGCGAAAGAAGTTCAAAATACATAATATGATGCTCTGCTGAATTAAGGTCTTTCATTGTCTCATACCTAATGGAATTAATCCAATCCATTCCTGCTGAGGTTAGTGATTCCAAATCTAGGTCAGTGGCCACCGCAACTCATTCGATCTTCTAAGTCGATTAATTATGTAACACTTTGTGGTAATAATTTTCATCATGGGAACTCCTTTGCCAGTACCAAAATATGAGAATAGGTTTTCCACTTTTTTCTGGCAACAAAACAGGTGTTAAGATGTTAAAACACCAAGCTGAAAACTTTTATAAGGAATCATGTCTGCATTAACCACAATACTTGTGGTCAGAATGCAAACAAAAAACATACTCTGATAATATATGCATTGTCTTTTAAACTGATTGGTCCACACCAGAGACAGCTTTCTTTCGAGCCTAGTCTCAAACGGTGTTAGACCAGAGGATGCCAAAATGCCGAAAGGGAAGCAGTGCAGCAAAAATCCATTGTTATGCACGGTCACCGAAGGAGACAATTACCACCCGACACGATTCTCCTTTCACGCTGGCCTTTGTGGTGTCGCACGTGGAAGTTGATGGTGGCGGAGCTTCACGCCTTTGTTGCTGTGCGCAGGGGCAATAAGGCCGCAGCCGCGGCAGCTGCGGCGGCGGCGGCGGCTGCTGCTGCGGCGGCGGCAGCAGCAGCACAGCAGCCGTCAGCGCTGGCGCAAGAGCTGGCGCAGCCCGACATGGTCATTGCGGACGCAGAACTCAGCGACCAGGTGGATTGGACGTATGACCCCAACGAGCCGCGGTACTGCATCTGCAACCAGGTGTGCCCTCTCACTCAACCCACCACACACAGTCCCACGACACAGACAAAGATCCCCCGTATAGCCTTAATTGACTGTTGGGGCAAGTGCTGTTAGCGAGCACCTTTGAAGGCCGGTGCGGCGCAACGAGGGGGTTGGTGACCAGCACCACGCCCGGCTGCCTTTGTCTCCCTAATATCGATGTCAACTCTTGTTATCAGTAGGATTGTCCTTTTGTAATGTCTTGTGTTTATGTTTCTAGGTTTCTTATGGAGAAATGGTTGGCTGTGACAATCAAGACGTAAGTACCTCAAGCAACATTTTTTCTTTATATAGTGTTAGTGCAAAACATATACTTTAATGCGTGCTGTACGATTTATAAAGAATGATATGTCTAGTAGTGTCGACATTGATTTAGACTTTTTGATTTAAAGCTTTCGTGACTGCAGGGATTCATCTTCTTGGTTCTTTCGGTAAAGTCACGTAGAAGGGAAGTAATAAAATAATAAAAATAAAACATAATAAAATAAAATAATTCTCACGACGTTTCGGCCACAACGCAAGCAGCCGTCCTCACCTGAGAGAAAGAACCAAGAAGATGATTTTGACTTTGTCGTATGTTGCTCATTAAACAGTGGAACCTGTTTCTTGCCGACCCGCCGATACTGGACATCTGTGAAAAAGAGCTTCATAGCTCATCAAATTCTTCCAGTCTAAATTAAGATTCTGATTCTATATGAACGATTTACACCCAAAAAAGTGTTTTGATCAGTTAGGAACCGTAAAAATTATCACTGTCAAACCGTACATTTTTGGGAAGTGGTGAAGCCTCAATTTCTCCTTTTTAATCCTCTAAAATGTTGAGCAACGATCCTTCTCTGAGAATCAAGATTGCCATTCATACTTTCTGACAAAGGAACGAATGCATGTCTCTTTTAAAGTCAGTCGGTGTCACCTATTTTTTAAGTGCATCGTACCTATTGTAAGATAAATTATTGGGATAGCATGAATGGTATTCATAAGCTGCTCTTGTCCTGATGTTACCTGTATGTCCCACTACCTTGCATTGCCTGACCCCAACTGTGTTCTCTGTTCTCTCTGCAGTGCCCCATCGAGTGGTTCCACTACGGCTGTGTGGGGCTGAAGGAAGCCCCCAAGGGAAAGTGGTATTGCCCCCAATGCACTGTGGCCATGAAGAGACGGGGCAGCAGGCACAAGTAACTCTGTTACTCTGCTTCATCAACGCACTCCCGTACGACTCTGCCAAACCTTCCTTTCGATGGACAGCGTTGTCATGGTCGTTATTGTTATCATCGTGATCCGTCATCAATCACAACGTCAACAGCAGCGGCTGCTGCCATTCGTCAGGCTACTGCCGGATGAAGTCTTCCCCCCACGTTGGTGCCATTGCCTCTGGTCCTGTGCGACAGAGGTTTTTTTCAACGCCTCGCTCTCTGGGACTGCGCGCTCCTCCCGCACTCCTCATAGCCCCCCACGCCATTATGCGTTTCTGTCACCGTCGGTTTGTCACGCTCGCTCACGACGCACTTAATATCAAGGGCTGCAGGTGGCGCGCAACCGTGAGCGTGCACGCACGGAGCCTTCCATTTTGGCAGCGGTGGGGAGGATTAGTGATAGTACAAGCACCCTTGCCATACACGTATGTAAAACAAACTATTGTGTGTAAGATATTAAATGTATACTGCTGTGTACCTATACTCTTAACATGTCCACTCAGCTGAATTTACTTCATTTAACGTCTGCAACGTAAAAATTTTGGAACAAGTAATACGGCAAATAATAACTGATTGGCTGCAGGATGAGAATTATTTTGCCTTTCAGTGGCCATATGATGGGCATATCCAGTGTCATACAGATTGTACTTTGATCAAATGGTCAGCCGAAGTGTGAATTAATGTCGCTAGATACTTAATGTTGTTATAGACATACATATTAAAAAGCTTAAACATAGCAGTAAACTGAGCCCTCTGGACAAAAACCCAACCGGCACCTTGTCCCTCTTGCATTTGTGTTTATATTTGAATGTAAAATATTATCTTGCGTTGTATATACTTGTATCCTGCAATTGGTAAGATTTCATTGTGCGAGGTTTACTTTTTGCATGATACACCTTTGTGTTTTTGCGTTCCACCCACATAGGGCATTATTTTATTGACTGAAAGTAATGTGTTTTTTGTCTTACCAGAAGCAGAGGGCTAATATAAGGTCTTTCATCAAGGGACACGGCTGTAATTGGCATAGAGAGATTTAGAACAAGGTATGTGGGTGTCATTACATATACTGATAAAGCAACTTTAAGTTGTATATGGTCATTGGAATTAATGGTGGGTGAACACATTTATGGTTGTAGGTATATCTAGTTCTGATTCAGCCGTCCATCTGTGATATAATCAATGTCTCCTTCCATAAGTCCTACTTGTATTTGTCAGATTTCATTAGCTCCAGACTAAACGGTGGAACAAACTTGTACAGAGATTTTTACCTTTGACACACAGATACATATTGGTAAGTAATATGGACTTAAGCTGCAAGCAGATTGTGAACAATTGGAGATGTCTGGAACCTCTGAGGATGTTGCCGTCTTCTATAAAATCTTAGGTTCTCAGGAGAAGCTTACAAACTTGTACAGGAGACTGTGACGACTACCCTTGAGAATGCTGAATACATGGTGTTGCCTGCATTAGATTGAGGAATGCTTCCGCCTCTGTCCACCCAGCAGTATGAACAACACCACAGTTCATTGGCAGGTCTAAGGTGTTACTCTTCCAAGACGTTTGGTCAGCGTGGAAAAGAATTTAGCCACTCGAGGACGGGCTCTCTCTAGAGCTCCTTCTTGGCTGGAGCTTCTTCCGCCCAGCAGTGGCGTGAGCAGGCAATTTCAGCGCTGCACCTTTGCCGCCTTTTAGACAGACTGATTATACCAGCTTTAGTAAAGTTTTTGAAAACAAAATTGACAACTCTATAACAAAATATTGCTCTCAGAAATATGACATTAATTTTAAAAGACTTTCTATAAATCCCTTAGTAGAGGTTGTGTGATTATTTTGGTTTATAAACCAGCTGTTATAAAGTGGTAGCAATATTTATAGCTTCAATTGCAAAAACTGGTCCGTTTGTCGCTCATGGTGCATGCATTTAAAGTTATGGGAAACTTGAGTGTAATATACTTTTACGTTTGTGGTTGATGAGAATTGTATTAAAAGTGTTTTTATACATGACCATTGTATTGTACTATATATATTTTGCTCTTTTTACAATATTCTTCACGCTAATGTAAATTGTTTAATTTTTGGCATGGTAACATTGTGAAAACTGTCTAGTATTATTTCTAATTGTTTGATAAATTGGGTAACAGTTTTGTTTTCTTGGTGTAGTGCAATCGCCTATGCTTGGTTGAATAAAACGACGTTTTACCCAACTGGTATGCTTCCATCAATTACGTTTACCATATTAACTGAAAGAAAATCATTCGCTGGAGTATCATGGCTTTTTTCTTCAGTACAGTCTTACTGCTTTGAGCTTTTTGCTATTGCCTGTTTATTGCACTCTTGCATGTGGGAATAGCGAAGCGCCACGCATGTGCTCCTGTTCAGGCATACATTGGGCTAACCCTAGGTTTTCTCGGTAAGAAATTAATGCAAAAGATCCGGCGACAGCCGACACTTACTGGTGCATTTAGCGTTGCTCCAACGTGGCTCCAGGTCAGGTAGTTAGGGGGATCTGCCTCGGGGTTTCCAGGAGAACGGGTCTGGCAAAGTCACTGGGCATATTCTTTGGCTCTTTCGGTAAAGTCAAGAAGATAGAAATATAAATAATAAAGTTCCTTTTTTTATATATATATAAACAAAAAAAATCACATGTAGAATGTCGCCTGGTTCTTAATCGGAGTGAGTACTGGCAGTTTATAATGTAGACTCGCCTGTAAAGTCACGTAGGTAAAAATAAAATAACTAAATCACGACGTTTCGGAGGCAACACAAGCTTCTGTCATCAGGTGGGACAACCACAGCAAAAATGTACGTGACTTTACCGAAAGAACCCAAGAGTATGGATCCTTGCAGTCACGAAAACTTCAAATGTAGAATAGACTAGCCTGGTTAAGTTTGGTGAGTGTACTGGCAGTCTGCAATGTAGACTGTAGCAATGGTTATTAAGCTCGGTGGGTTTACTGGCAGTTTATAATGTAGCCTGGTTCTTAATCTCGGTGAGCGTACTGGCAGTCTATAATGTAGACTGTAGCCTGGGAATTTCCACACAACACAAATGTTATGTCAATGCAAGCGTGTTGAAATGGATTGTCTTAACTGCCACGTGAAAAGTCTTCGTCGACATTGAAGTTCAAGTTCATTAATTAGGTATAGCCCTGTGAGCCATTCGGCTCTTGAATCGGGTGCAACCGCAACAGACAAAAAACAAAAACATGAACAAAAAAACATCTTAAAGTGAATATGTGACTACGTGCAAACAGAAAATCCGAGAAAAGACAGCAAAATATTGCAGAAAAAAACACCGTACACCAACGCTGTGTGCAAAAATCCCAGTGGGATGCAAGTCAAACAACAACCATAAGACAACTTAGATTAAGGCCATCAGTCTAACTCTGTACTACAACAAACAAACATGGCTAAACCAATACACTTTTCGAAATCACCAAAATAAAGCAATGAAAAAGCAATCATAGGAACTGTGACGGAATTTTCACAATAAATGGCATAAACATGTACTACCAAAACCTTGCAGCCATAGCTGGCTGCATGAGCCACTCCGCAACAGCAGGAGCATCAATAGGAGTATTATTATTTTTCAATGCACCTTTAAGATCAGCACACTAAATAAAAATACAGGTCATACTTTGTAGTGATCATCCGGAGCTAAACATTTTATTTTAGGCCACTGAATAGCACTGGCAGCTAGGGGTGTACAACTCCTCTAGAGCAGTTTTGAGTGAAGATCTCATGGGTAGTGACTCAAGTTTCAATTTATTGACAACAGCATTCCAGACCCTGGGGGCATCAATAGCAAAGGCCCTTCCTCCAGTATATGTACGGCAATAGGGAATATGAAGCTGGTAAATTTTTTGGTTCTTTCGGTAAAGTCACGTATACAGAAAAAATAATAAATTAAATAATAACAAAGAATAATTCCTGCAGTCACGAAAGCTCCAAAGTTAAGATTGGTAAATGAGTGTAGACCTTAGGTCAAATTTGTTCTTTGAAACAGAGAGGAGATCCAGCAGGTAATCTGCGGATTTTTTTGTAAGTACATCATGAATAAATAAGATCTGGTGCACAAGCCGTCGAACATTCAGAGATGTTAAGTTTGACCCAATGTAGAGATCACAGTGGTGAGTCCTATATGGGCAGTTCAATGCAAATCTTAAGGCCGAGTGATACATTGAGTCAAGCTTCTTCAGTACAGTACTTGGGGCTGATTTATACACAATGTCACAGGAATCAAGTAGATGAAGTATGGTAGCTTTTATCAATTCCAAACGGAACATAGGGGGGAAGCAGTGCTTGTGTCGATACAGAAAATAAATTTAAATGTTTTGTCTTTTTCCCAATATAATCAATGTGATCTTCAAAATTCAGTTTTGAATCCAGGATGACCCCAAGATACGTATAGATCTTGACTTGTTCTATTTGATCATTATTTAAGGAATGTAATTGGGGGAAAACAACTTCCCGCTTTAGTCCTGGTGAGAAGCATAGCACCTTGGTTTTGGCAGGATTTAGGACTAGTTTAAGAGCAACTAGCTGATGTTGTAGTTTGTTGAAATCACTCTGGAGCTTAGCAATCACGTCATCCGGAGAGCGGCCAGCAGTATTGAGTACCGTGCAACTTGGGCAGCTCCCCCCTGCGAGTCACGTGCGTGTTGCGTGCAACTTGGGCAGCCCCCCCCCCCTGTGAGTCACGTGCGTGTTGCGTGCAACTTGGGTAGCTCCCCCCCCCCCTGTGAGTCACGTGCGTGTTGCGTGCAACTTGGGCAGCTCCCCCCTGTGAGTCACGTGCGTGTTGCGTGCAACTTGGGCAGCCCCCCCCCCTGTGAGTCACGTGCGTGTTGCGTGGAACTTGGGTAGCCCCCCCCCCCTGTGAGTAACGGGCGTGTTGCGTGCAACTTGGGCAGCTCCCCCCTGCGAGTCACGTGCGTGTTGCGTGCAACTTGGGCAGCTCCCCCCTGTGAGTCACGTGCGTGTTGCGTGCAACTTGGGCAGCCCCCCCCCTGTGAGTCACGTGCGTGTTGCGTGGAACTTGGGTAGCCCCCCCCCCCTGTGAGTAACGGGCGTGTTGCGTGCAACTTGGGCAGCTCCCCCCTGCGAGTCACGTGCGTGTTGCGTGCAACTTGGGCAGCTCCCCCCTGTGAGTCACGTGCGTGTTGCGTGCAACTTGGGCAGCCCCTCCCTGTGAGTAACGGGCGTGTTGCGTGCAACTTGGGCAGCCCCCCCCCCCCCCCCCTGTGAGTCACGTGGGACTTTCCCAGGGCGCAGTGCGGGCGGAAGAAAAGCGTCTCGCTCGTGCCTCCGTCGTTTCCGCAGTCTTAAAGCTGCTGCTGCTGTTGTTGCTGCTGCTGCTGTTGTTGTTGCTGCTGCTGTTGTTGCTGCTGCTGTTGTACTGTTGCCTGTCTCTCTTTTTTCCATCCGTGATGTCCGTCTGATCTTCTTTCGTAGCCCCCCGTGCTCATCAGCAGTGCCGGCGGGGCAGGAGGCGAGGGGGGTCGAAAGCGACTTCGCTGTTCAGTGCCAAGACTCGTTGCTGAAGTCGTCGTCGTCGAGTGCCCGAGGTTACAGGACGCGCTGCTTGAAGGTAAAGTTTACCGCGGCTCGTCTCAGTTGCTCGTGGTGGAGATTCCATGTGTCTGTGACGGGGCCCAGTATGGCCATAGTACGATGTTGTAAGTGCTGTTTAAAGGGAGTTTTTCCGCCACCCCCCCCCCCACCCACCCAACTCACAATTTGTAGTAGTATCAGCACCACAGAGATGGTGGTGATGATGATGAGGGTGGTCATGTTTCAGGAATGATCGTGACGATGATAAATATACAGTCATTGTTATGATCATGGTGGTAATTGTACTGTGGTGGTGGTGGTGATGATGGTGGCAATCATTATACAGCCATGGTTATGATGGTGATGGTAATAGTATGATATTGGTGATAATGGTAATGTTGATAGTGCCAACATTACCATGGTGGCTACACAGTTATGATGGTCCTGTGATGATTAGCGATGGTGATGTAATGATGTAATGATGGTAGTAAGCACCATTGATGATAATGATGGTAAAGTAATGATGGTTGGTGGTCATGAAGGTGTTGGTGAAATTATTGCGGTGAGTCTGAGTTGATGATGACCTCGGTTGAGATTTCAACTTGTCATCTTACCTGTGTGCCGGAATTTCCGCGGGTATTTTTCTTGAGTTGTATGTCAACTTTGTGTACGTCACCGTACTGTAATGCATAAGCAATACCAACGACGCAACACATTTGTTCATAACACTGTGGCCATAAAATCAAAACGTTTATAATTAAACAAATGTGTACAATTAGTCTATCAGCAGGATTGCGTATAGTGGCATTAAAGTAGTGATACTGCCATCTCGAACAAGACACCTGGCCACCATGGTAGGCCAAATACCCTCTAGGCCAGTGTTCTTCACAAATTTTCAGAGGGGGGGTGCCACTTCCGCCGATGAGACCTCATCAGTGTGAGGGCTGCCACACATTTGAAACCATCGGAGTTTGACAGCAGCACCATGATGATGGGGGGGGGGGGGGTGTTTTCACATGTTGTGTATTGTCGGGCGCCGCACGTCAAGAGGCCGCACTAAAGGCCGCTAGTGGCCCGCGGGCCTTGCGATACAGAACACTGCTCTAAAGCAGGGGACCCCAACCCCCGGGCTGCGGACCGGTACCGGTCCGTGGCCTGTTAGGAACCGGGCCGCACAGCAGGATGTGAGCGCGGTGAGTCCACGTGTGGCCCACCCTATTATTTTATTTCCCACTTCCGTCCGCGCCTCTTTACCGCACTGCGCACTTGTCTCAGTCACAGTTTTGTTAAGCCCAGAAGCTGCTCACCCCTAGTAGCCAAAATGAGTAAAACACAAACGTCGCTGGAGAGCTTCTTTGAAAAGGGAGAAAGACCCAATGATGAACACCCCCCCCCCCCCCCGTCCGTGAAAAAATTGTCTTCCACGAAACCGGTCCCTGGTGCCAAAAAGGTTGTGGACCGCTGCTTGTCTAAAGGACTTCCACGAGAGCACCCTCTGAAGCCTTTTTCGCCAGCAGTGGCTTTAGTAAGACATTGCAGAGCCAGAACCATCACCTGCACCCTTTTTAAATGCGCGAAAACGTGTTCTTTTATATCTCTTTTTCAGACCCAGCATTTTGTGCTCAGCTGCCCCTTGAATTGGTTCAACTGTGGCCATTTCGGACAGGCCCTGTTGAATGACCGTGCAACGGTTGCCGGTGTGTTGCTGAGCCTCAGGTGGCTATTTCCTTTGGCACCACAGCAACCAGAATGAGCCAAGTACCGATCAGCCGAGAGACGCTGGTGCGGAAGCTGGCCTTCAGCCCACGGGAGAGCCTCGCCTCGCTGCTGGATCCAGACGACGCCTGGAGAAAACTGGCAGCGCAGATCCCCAACAGTCTTGGCCAGCCACGGTACACGATGCTGCAGATCAGGTGAGGTGTGCGCCACTGCTCTGCCAACCGGTGCGAGTTGAGACGATGGCATCTCTGTGGGAGCTTTTTTGCCTTAGAACAGGTGTTCAGATCTTCTTGGTTCTTTCGGTAAAGTCACGTAGAAGGGAAGTAATAAAATAATAAAAATAAAACATAATAAAATAATTATCACGACGTTTCAGCTACAACGCAAGCAGCCGTCTTCAGGTGAAGACTGCTGCTTGCTTCTACGTGACTTTACTAAAAGAACCAAGAAGATGAATCCCTGCAGTCACGAAAGCTTTAAATCGAGGTGTTCAGATGTTTAAACAACAAATAGATACCATGCAGTACTTGTGGCAAACAAACATGCAAACAAACATGCTCTGATAATATATATGCATTGTCGTTGAAACTTATTGGCCGACGCCAGAGACAGCCTTCTTTCTTGTCTCACCAGTTGGCATTAAGGAAATGTCTGTCCTTCACTACCCAGGTCAGGATCCATTGGTATGCGAGACACAAGCAACAAGGCCATTGCTTTTCTTTATCCATTTGTGTGTTGATTTTCCTCAGCGCTGCAGTGTTCTCCAGCATGGTGTGATTGTGCAAAGCACGATGGGTCTTCCACTCATGCCTTTGCTTGTCACGTGACGTGACTGGACTCTGTGTATAACGTTTATTATCTCACGATGAAAGGACTGATCTTCTTGTCACAAGCGTGACTTTTGGCTGTCTTTAAATCACATTTTTGTGCGTGGTATTATTGAGCTTATTTCCAGTTTGCACTCACTTTCATGTCTGATGCATTTTAAATGATTTAGAGCAAGTTTTACAATTGGTTTTGAAAGTAACAGCTGAAACATCCCAAGCAGGGCCCTCAAAGTTTCTTTAGACTCAATGAGCCTTAACTTGGTAATTAGCATTATTATCCAAAATCTTTTGGCAGAATTTTCAAGTTTTATCTGCAACTTCTGCACGCAACGGCCTACTCATGCACATTTAAGAGCAACAAAGTCTTTAAGGTTGAATTTGCATCAGATTTGTCGGTTTGGTTATTCGCTTCAAGCATACCAGATGTTGGCTGCAATTGAATAGATTGAAATCACACAAACTCATGATGAAGCATGCTGACAACTGCCATCCACGTTCTTTGATTTGTGGCCGCACATTAGTGTAATGAGGTGGAGCAGTGACGTAGGGTTTGCGCACTGCACTATGAACCTGGTGACCTGAGTTCAATTCCCGATTATGGCCACGGCTGTTATCCTTATAAAAAACACTGTCCCATCTACTGCTGGATGAAGGCCTAACCACACCATCAGGGCTAGTCCAGTGTTGCTGCTATTGTCGAACTCCTGCGTATGAACTGACCTTATCTATACACATTTCAGTGGCCCAATCAGTGTGTACCAATTGAAAATGTGTTTACAGATGCATTGTTGTGCTCCATTTCATTATCGTGTTCAACTTTTCCAAGGCACTCCATTCTACTTTTGTTCTCTTTATTTAATCGTTTTGATCCACCTTTATTAGCTGTCTTAGGTGCGCATTCTGCTGTCAGATAACATCAGTGGAAAGTACTTTAATATCTTAACCTGTCCCCAGCTTGACATCCCTCCTTTGGCTGTCTCCCCAGGATCATGTGTGTATCTCCCTGTGTGTGCATGTTTGTATCTCCCTGCATGTGTATCTCTCTGTGTGCATGTGGGGGGTGCCGCAGTGGTGAGCTGTTAATACCTCGCCCGGTATACAGGAGGTTGTGGGTTTTATCCCGACCCTGACGCCTGCTGTATATTTGGAGTTTGCTTGTCTCTCTCCCCGTGGTCGCGTGCATTTTTCTTGGGGTCCTCCGTTTTTTTACTCCACATTTAGAATCATGCGCTTCGAGTATTGATCTCCTGCTATAAATTTCCATGTGATAAGCCACTTCATTGAGCTGTCATGTGTGGCTAGGTCACTTCTGAATAAGTATAACCCGTAAAAACAAAGTTTTTCACTATAAATCCTTTATATGCGTGGCAGCGAACTTAATATAAAGGATTTAAAAATATATTCGCCTGTGGAGGACGCGGGGATCGATCCCGCGACCTTTGGCATGGGAAGCGAGGGCGCTACCAACTGCGCTACTCCGCCATGGCCTGTGGAGGGGTTACGCTCTGGGCTCTTACACTGTGACGTTCAACCAAAGCCAAGAATGAGTTCTATTTGAATATATGTAAAATAATTTTTTTTTGCCTAAAAAGTGTAAAATTTTGGGAATTTTTTTTCACGAACATTAATTGTCTGGCACAACGAGTCTGTGGAAAATGTCAGCTCGATTGGATCACAGGAAGTGGGTTAAAAAACGACCGAAAGATTTGCACGGTCGTAAGCAAGCAAGCAAGCACGCAAGCAAGCATGCGAACTTAATATAAAGGATTTAAAAAGAGCTACATACCTGGTAAAATAAAAAATAGTGTTTGTGTTTTTATTGAATCCTTGTGTGCGTGCCCGTGTGTGTCCTGCAGGAAGTTTGAGAAAGTGGTGCAGGCGGGAAGGAGCCCCACGATGGAACTGCTGAATGATTGGGGCACACAGAACTGCACGGTGGGGAATCTGGTGGACCTGCTTGTAAAGCTGGAATTCTACAATGCGGCTGACCAGCTCCTCCCCAGTGCGTCATTCACTGGGCCCATGGACACCCACCACCTCTCTGTAGTTGGAGGGGGGAGGGGGTTACAATAACGCTCGTGAAGACTATCCAATATAATTTTTAGATGAAAGTTGTGGCGATTAAAAACATTCGAGTGAAACGGATGCCACTTTGGGCAAGATGAAGACAGATAACGTCACACGACTCGTGGAGCACGACTGCGCGATATGACGTCACCGTGAGCAAGTGCGATGCGCCTGTAATAATAATAAGCCATCTACGCTTGCCCCACCCTAGGCTCGTACGAGCGGCGGGATCCCTTTCGCCATATCACCGCTGTTCCGCCCTCGTCAGACAATGGCAGCGTGTGCGAGAGCTCGCTGCTCTACTCACAGCCCTGCTGCTCGCCAGGTGAGTGGGAGGCTTGCGTCGTCCCGCCTCTCTACACCTGCCTGGGCCCGCTATACACCACCATGGAGAAGGAGGAGAATAAGGAGGAGAAGGAGGCGGCCGGGGAAGAGAGCGGGAGAGGCAACGTCAACATCGCAGGACTTGGAGTTGGGATGTCGCTCTTATCCACAAAGAGGGCTGGCAGAGAAAGCGAAAACAAAGAGGAGCGCGTGGTGGAGCCGACATCGCCTACCGAGCTCACGGTGATTGGGATTGAAGCAGGTACGGCACAGGTCACCTTAACTTTACTTATGTCAGTCCACCCATCTGATGACCCTATTTTCATGCAAACTCCATAAGTCCCTCAACCAATAGCTATAAGACTTACCACGCACCTTTCCACTACAATTGCTCAAATCTATATCGTTTATTTATTTTGGCAAAAAAACATTTTAATTATATTTCTATTTTCTTAAATTGATACATTATATGTCACTGCAATTTGTGCAAGTTTGTTAGAACCCTTTATCATGGGTGTTTTTTCACTCAGGTTAGAATGCGAGCATGTGGTTGTCTGCGTTAGCCTGATGTGCGTGTCAAACTGAGTCTGTCTGTGGACATATTTATCTCTCCACAGGTGAACCAATTAACAATCTTGATGTTCCTTTAATACTGGTTTTCCAGAGTGTGTCTTCCACAGGGAGATGCTATTAGTGACAAGCATTTCCTCGCAGTCATAAAATCCTCCTTTAAATGGAATTGACAAAACATCCAAGGCAAGGCCCTCTCGATAGAGAATCTCGAAACTCGAGAGGCTTTCGTAGATAGATAAATAAATAACTTTCTTGTTATTGACTCAAAAGGGGATTCCTGGACAGGATTGATCTTTTGTGACCTTATGACTGTTACACTATGCCAGAATATGTAGTATGTTTTATGTATTTTATGATGTTTGACACCTCTGGCTTACACCGATTCCTCTGCCCATGCCTCAGACGTGGAGAAGTTTGAGTTCACGGCCCTGCTGCGCATGACTGGCGGGTTCAATGACGCCCCGTTATTGCAGGGCGGCAGCAAAATAGGCGAGGGAGGCTTTGGCCTGGTGTACCTGGGCCGCATCGGCACAAACGCCGTCGCCGTCAAGAAACTAACAGCCGTGAGTAAATGCGATCACTCGACTGTTGTCAAGGCTGCATTGCCTTTTATACTTACATGAGCTCGTGTTTAGGCTTTATAAATACAGACAATAATGGCATTTGAAACATTCAAATTTTACTCTTACATTCAAAGTGCTATCAGGCTCAAGCCGTGAGTACATCCATGCAGCTAGATCTTAGACACTTACATGAACCTGCTCACAGGATACTTGTGCAGTTACATCGCCTAGTGGTTGAGTGTTCGCTGCCCATCGCAGAGGTTTCTGGTTCAATATCCAGAGGCCAGCCTGATTATCATATCCTTAGGTTTTTTCGGTAAAGTCACGTAGGTAAAAACATTAAAAAGTAAAATAAAATAAAAATCACGACGTTTCGGAGGCAACACAAGCTTCCGTCTTCAGGTGGTACCGTCACAGCCACGACAGCTGTATCAAGTAAATGAGAGATTTCAGGAGTTACCACTGCGTTTATATAATGGTTGGAGAAGGTGGTGGGGCATGGGCCGCATCTTTATTATTAATATGGTAAGGTGAGGCTTGAGACTAAGAATAGACTGCATAACAAAGGCTGAGCCTTATGGAGAGGTGCGGTTTGTGACTCAACCTGTAACAGGGAGACCACCACTAAACATGGTAAAACAGTAATGGTTGTCTGTCAAATAAGATTGGCAAATAAGTGTAGTTAAATCTTTTTTGCATGGTTAATCACATCTTTCCAATGATTACTCAGTTTGTAACCGTCATCACGGTTGAAATTATGTCTGTGTTTGTATATTTGTATGGCTTCGTGTACAAACCTTTGATGGTAGCCAGGAGGTTTGCAGAGAACCTTGGTCTCGGAAAATACAATTTCATGAGAGCCCACCGAGTTGTAGCAATGATCGGCTCTCATGAAATTGTATTTTCTGAGACCAAGGTTCTCTGCAAACCTCCTGGCTACCATCAAAGGTTTGTACACGAAGCCATACAAATATACAAACACAGACATAATTTCAACCGTGATGACGGTTACAAACTGAGTAATCATTGGAATGATGTGATTAACCATGCAAAAAATATTTAACTACACTTATTTGCCAATCTTATTTGACAGACAACCATTACTGTTTTACCATGTTTAGTGGTGGTCTCCCTGTTACAGGTTGAGTCACAAACCGCACCTCTCCATAAGGCTCAGCCTTTGTTATGCAGTCTATTCTTAGTCTCAAGCCTCACCTTACCATATTAATAATAAAGATGCGGCCCATGCCCCACCACCTTCTCCAACCATTATATAAACGCAGTGGTAACTCCTGAAATCTCTCATTTACTTGATACAGCTGTCGTGGCTGTGACGGTACCACCTGAAGACGGAAGCTTGTGTTGCCTCCGAAACGTCGTGATTTTTATTTTATTTTATTTAACTTTTTAATGTTTTTACCTACGTGACTTTACCGAAAAAACCTAAGGATATGAATCATTGCAGTCACGAAAGCTTCAAATCTAGAAGCCAGCCTGATTGTTACTGCGGTGTGTAACAACGAGAATAATAGTCGCCGTCTGCGTCACAGTGGTTGTTGAGGATCACCTGACATAATTCACAAGTGTAGGCCATTGTATGCCAGCGTCAGAGTCCAAATTTGCCAAACTCAAAAAATTACCGACAGATTACACAACTGGGATCATGCATCACATTCATCACCCCCATATGGCAGGTTCATATCCCAGGTCTCTCTTGGAAATGAGACTCTACCCTGGTCTCTTTGAGTTCTCACCTGGTTAAACAAAAAAAAACTTGACACTTGGAACTAACAACATCAGAACTTTGTAATCATTTGACTGTGAGCAGATAACTGTGAATCCACGAGCGTACGGCCGATGCACTCGTGTCACAAAGCAGTAACCTGAATTCCCGACGGTGTATCTGCTGCCAACTCTCTGACAGTTTTGTTCCCCAATGTTTGTTCCGAGGGTTTTAGTGCCCCGTGTGTGTTTTCTCTTTTTTCCTCAGCTCGACCATGTGTCTATGGAAAGCATGAAAACACAGTTCACCAAGGAGATACACACGCTCAGCAGGTGCGGCCACTGGCAGCCGCACACACAATAGTTGTCTATAAGGCTAAATAGGGGATTTATCTTTTCTTGTATGTGACTATGTTTATTTAAGCGATTAATGCGCTGCGCTATGAACTCGGCGATCCGAGTTCGACTCTCACGGCCAACACCAGTGATGATTATGTGAACCGGTCCTGGGCCTCCTCTAGGTTAACTCAGCCTCAAATGAGTACCCGGTGTGGAGTGTAAACATTGCCACTGGAGAGACAAAGGCGGCTGAACGTTGAACTTCTTTCGCACCGTATGTAGCTAACCGTGATAATAATCGGAGGTGCGGAGGAAGGACATAAACTAAACACAAAGAGCAGAGTTGAGTGAGTGTGAATGTGTATGTATGTAAATGATAGCGGAGCTGTGTGTGTGCGTGTGCCCAGCTGTCGGCACGAGAACCTGGTGGAGCTCCTCGGCTACTCGTGCGATGGGCCCCAGCTGTGCCTCGTCTACCCTTACATGTCCAACGGCTCCCTGTCCGAACGCCTCGCCTGCAAGGTCAGCATGTCACCATTGACACAAGCAAGTAGAAAAACAATTCATGGGAAAGTGTTTCAAGGGGTCATAATGGCCTCGTCAGAGCACCATGTAGTAATCCGTTTGTTCTGTTGTGTCCATTCGTACTCTTCCACCTGTGTCATCTCAGGGTTGTATTACGAACAACAAATGTGTTGTCCTAATGGGCTCTTAAAAGGTTTAAATAAAGGACCTACCCATCTAACTCTCCACTTACAAACGTATCTACTTAGCTGCATACCTGCATATCTATTTGACTTTACAGTTTTTTAGATAGGATAATTTTTTCGGCTATCGTTATCCACTTCGCAAGAGCATTTGACATGGTTAATCATAACATTCTTATTTAAAGATTCAAGGACTGTAATAGGGATGGGTTTTGGATGTAAACATTTCTGATTTTTAAGGACCGTTCGAGATCTTTTCGGATTTTAAGATTTTTAGATCATTTACATTATATAGTAATAAAAAATATCATGGTGATAACAATCGTGATATCACCCAATGCCACGGAACACCACCTTTGGCAGTAAAAACAATTCGTCATATTAGCAATCTCACTTGGGATCAATTCGAATTTTCATCAGTCCATATTTTCTGCTGCCGATCTACATACCTTGATACATATCAGTGCCTTAACTTCATTTCTACAAACCTAACTACCTGATTACCACCTACCAACCTAACTACTTAAATACCTACCCACCACCCTTGCACCTGCCAGTGATTACTTTCTGACCGTTTCCAGGATAATACCCCTCCACTGCCTTGGGCCACTCGACTCAGCGTTGCTGAAGGGGCAGCCAAGGGCATCGCCTTCCTGCACGCCAACAACCACATCCACCGGGACATCAAAACGTGAGTGGGCAATCACCGTGCACATTCCATTCATTCACTCGGTTTGAGTAAAATCCTCACGGCTGGCAAGAATAGAGGCATGTTTCCATCACGGGGAGATTTGGGTTCATCTGCTGGCTCGTTTATTTAAAAATGAGTCTCAAGTTTTGATGCAGAATTTGGCTGAGTGGCACTGTAGTGAGGCACTCGGCTCACGGTTGGAAGGTTACAAATTCAAATAATGTTTGGTGTTGGCTCAACTCATCAACCATCCCGGGATGATAAAATAAATAAGACCCCCATAGTAAACTGGACTTCCATGGTAAACTGGACTCTCATCGTAAACTGGACTGGACATTGGCAGGTGCTTGCACACAGAGGCCTTGTGCCACACAGACACAACTGCAACTGGCTGTCCCCTTGGATAGACAGCAGCAGAGCAATAGAATTGTTTAGATGAGATGTGAAGTAAGGCACTTTGATCCGCTGTGGCATCTAAGCTACCTATAATGCAAATCCTTACAGAAGTGTGGAATCACTGGCTCATGGTCACCGTTGGAGATGTATGTATGCTGAACTTCTTTCGCACCGTACGTAGCCAACCGTGCTAATTGGAGGTGCAGGGGATGATTGCTTGTTCGAGCATGTGGACACCTGCAACCTTGCTGTTCGATTGTTCTCTATCTCCCAGGGCGAACATTCTGCTGGACAATGCTAATGTGGCGAAGGTGGCGGACTTTGGGCTGGTGCGGGGCTCCGGGCCGGGCGGTGCGACTGCCCTCACGTCAGTAGTCGTGGGCACCGCGGCCTACATGGCACCAGAGGCACTCCGTGGCGAGCTCACACCCCGCGCAGACACCTACAGCTTCGGGGTGGTACGGGTCACGTCCACCGCACTCGCCACGACCACCGCACTAACCACGACCACCGCACTAACCACGACCACCGCACTCGCTACGTTCACCATGACCACCGCACTCGCCAGGACCACTGCACTCGCCTTGACCACTGCAGTCGCCATGCTCGCCATGCCCAACACGCTCAATCATGTACAACGTGCTCACCGTGGTTTAATATAATCACCACACTCAACACTCGCCACGCTCAACACTTACCACGCTCAATACGCTCACCAATGCCCTGCCCAGCACACTCAATCATCTACAACGCTTACCCACTCATCTAAACCTTGGGTTTGTATTTCAGGTTCTTCTGGAGCTGATCACAGGTCTTCCTGCCTTTGATAGCAAGCGCACCCCAGCTGTAATCGTAAGGACATCATCAAGTTTCACTTAAGGAGATAAACATGTGCAGCCTTTTTGTTTGTCCCCCCCACCCCCGCCATGCAGGTCGTGGGGGTTAGGTGACTATACTTCACCATGCTGGTCCGTGCAGGTTGGTGAAATCAGGGGGCATAGATATGGGAGCATAGTATAGTACTACAATAATGTGTTTTGCTATACTGGCCGTCTTTTTTATCTTGAGATCTGACAAGATTAGATGGGCCTATAACCAAATCACCTGGCATGTGCCAAATCTCATCAGATCTCACAAACTAATTCAGTTTGAGCCTGGATAGTGTTTTAATGGGTGACCACCATGCATGCCAAATTGTCATAGGCAGCTGTGGGCTGTGCCACATGGTGGTCAGCAAAGGGCACTGTATCAGAATTCAAAGTTGTCATTCAATGCTCCCATGTTCATGCTCCCCGTCTTCACAAACAACTCGCACTGATAAACAGCATGGGGAGGTCCTCATCCAGCAGTGGATTGACAAAAGGGACTGCATATTTACATATGACGGATTATGTAAATACAACTTTCAAAAAGTCAAAACTTGAAAATAAACTTGCCAATAAATCTTAGTAAATGCCTATCGGTTGCAATCAACGGAAAGTCAGCATATCGTTGCTTGTGCAGAGCAGCCTACCAGAAGAGCTGGAGGATGGCCCGCACACACTGCAGGACTTCACGGACCCACACGTTGGCACAGTTGATCCTGAGCGGGTGGACGCGGTCTACCAACTCGCCCTGCGGTGCCTGGAGGATCGCAAGGGAAGACGGCCTGCAATGAGCGAGGTGCGTTCTTGCTGACATCCACCTTTATCGGTTAAGGAGCCCTGTTCTTAAGGAATGGTCAGTAGGGTCGGTCGTTGGTTTTCATTCGTTTGTTCACAGACACGGGTGACTGAGTGGTTAAGGGGTCTCGTAATGCCTGTGTCAGATTGCTAAGTTAGTACTGCACTGTGGAAATCATGAATTGAATCGGGGCAGCTTTAATGGTAAACTTGGAAAAATGCTAGAAGATACGTTGACAAGTTAGGGTTGGAAAAGGATAAGAGTTGAAGCAATGTGTTATATTGTGTGATTGTTGGCTTCTGCAGGTCTCTAGCATCCTAAAGGAAATGTCAGCAACTTGCATGGAGGCTGCAGGAGAATGAGGACTCGAGTGAAGACACGAATGACTCATCCTCAAACATATGTCTATGCGTGTGTGTTGTGACGAGTGGTGGAGAAGTTGTTCGCACATTGCACTTAAATAATTTTGACCCAAGTTCAGTTTTTCGCCATGGGTAACATCAGTGGGTCTTTCAAAGATTATTTCAGCAATAAGTGAATATCTGATGAAGTGTAAGCACTGGAGAGAAAATGGTTTCCAAGCACGGTTCTGATCATGCAACATGTTGGATTGATTACACGCTGACCAAATGTACTCTGCCCAATGGTCTACATGGCAATACGGAGACTTTGTTTTTGTGTACATGTGCGTAGCAATGGAATGTAGTTACACTGTGCTATGATCCTGACAATTCATGTTCATTTTTTGGCCACTTACCATTATGTGAATATTATTTTCGGCCTTCATAGGTGCTCGCTAACAGCGCCACCTCCCAACAGCCTGTTAAGGCTATAAGGGGGGGGTCTTTGTATTTTGTGATGGTGATGTCACCGTCACTTCGTGGCGAATGGCGGCGGCTGTTATTATTGTGTCATGTGCCGGCTTTAAAAGGTGCTCGCAAGCAGCGATTGTTGCGACAGCCGGAGGCTAAAAATGAAAGGTTTACATTAGGCGATGCTTTGGGCAATGGTTATTATTCATGGCACATAAAAGAACGGCCATTGCCCAAATTGTTGCTGAGGATTTGTGCTTGTGCAAAGGCAGTATTACCAAATAATGATGGCAAAAAAGGTGGTCTTCATGAGGGATGGTTGCGATAGTGTAGTGATTACACCATTAACTTAAATTCAACTCTTGGTCGCATACGAGTGCCAGTTGGAATAAAGTTGATTTGGATCTCCCATTGGCCAGCTCTGCGTTAGAAAAATACCTGATGTGATATGAACATCAGTATTGGGGACGCAAAAGTGGTTAATGTGGAAAGTGCTGAAACAGCCACCCTATATGGTGTGCATTAGCAGAAGCAATAATAGTTGCTTGGTAAACAGCACTGAGAATAGCCAAAATAGGTTTTTTAAAGTCTCGATATTTTGTACGATAAAATGTTTTTCTCAATAAATTTTATATGAATCTGCCTTCGCAAAGTGTCTTCGGTCGAGTCTATGTAAGTTTAATAAAATATTTTTTTCCAATCTCGCATTTTTATATGTGTAGGTTTACATGTAGGCAATGTGTGCAGAATGGATTCAGCCAATTGTGTCTCTTAAGCAAGCGGTGATGATTTAAATCCCTCCACGTGAATGCTCATGTATTAAAAAATTAAGAGAAAGCTATCGACAAATTGAATAAAACACAGGTCCAAGACAGCATTGCTGCTCACAGAATTACTTATTTTTGCGCATCGTCAAAGGTGGCCTTTGCCATTCGTTTAAATTCCACATTACCATGGCAGGGCCCAGTCCGTATTCCTCAAGTACAGTCCGGTGTGTTAGTGCGTATCTGTAGTTTCATACGTTGGGTGGCTCAAGCTCCCAAATTTGCAGGGCTGCAATGTGGCCACAAGATGGCAGTACAACAAATGGGATCCCGTCTCTCTTGCCTCGGGGTATTTTCCTTTCTTCGTCGAGGCGTTGCTGGGCTACTCTGATTTTCTCTCCCATATTCCACACTTTTGGACCAGACATCCCAACGCAGGATAAACAAAGGGTGCTGTACAGTATTGAGATTCAGTGTGGTCTCCTCGCTAAATATATGGCATTGCTGGTTCGGGTATTGGGCATTTAGTGCATTTGTCCATTGATAGAAAAAAATGTTTACGCTCATTATGCATGCATTGAATTGTGTAAAATGTAGACTAATGGAGAAAACAACTGCACAAGGCAGGAGAAATGATAAGATTAAAAAAGAAGCATTAAACTGTTGAATTGTGATATCGAATTATAAGTGGGTGGTGTATCGTTGCGTGCTTAATGTTTTATTCCAAGTGTGAGAGTTTAAATCACAATTAGGGCAAACTCTACCCGCCTGTCATCAACTGGAAGGGTGGATATATAGTGAGCATCGCCTAATGAGGCCTGTGCCACTTGATGGAAATTCAACAATTGAAACTGGACATTGCCATAGAAATGTACACCACTCGGTGAGAAGTCAAGGGTTGGCTGTTGTGCTCAAGAATCTCAAGTCCCACCTTAAGTCCCACCTTAGAAGCCAGTGTTGGTGGATGACACAAGTTTGTGAAATGTTCAAACGTGCTAGGCTTTGAGGTGGCTAGGGAGATGGTAGTACAGGCAGTGGGACGAAATCGATCTGTGCGGAGCTTTGAGTGTTATTCCCTTCCTTGAGTTGATTTTTTCTGGGCGATAGTTACCTCCCAAATGCCACTCGATGGCATACCTGTTAACCCATATGGTTTACCCGTATTCTTGTACAGGGGAATTTGAGTTATCCGGCACAGCCGTTTCAATACGGGCAAAAAAACATGTTTGTCTATTTGTGTTTCTGCCTTGTGATGGTACTTTGTAGGATGAACGTTGAGATTTATAAGGGCACGGGGTGACCAATAAGGTCTGAATTGGTCTGTAATAAGGTAGGCACTGATGATGAGTTTTTAAAAATGTGAACAGTATTAATAGAACCAAGAAAAGTGCAAAATCTTGCCATGGTAATGTGGAAATTCCACTGCAGAGTCCTGGGTGTTCACGGCTTCGTTTTTCACAAAAAAAATATTCCAGGTTGCTGGTAGACTGCAGTATCAATCTTTATTTTCCTTGAGAAATACGATTAGCTTTCCAGCTCTTTTTCACTACATGTCCAGCAGGGGCGGGTCAGAACGTCCCAACAAACAATACAAAAACACGATAGGAGTGCAAAGTATAGGAAAGATAAGCAAATCACTTTTTAGAAAACTACAAATAAAAGTACATTTCTATCTAACCTGGTAAAGTCCACTGAGCCATCAGCTTATTTTTTCAGAAGCGACCTGGCCACCCCAAACGAAAGCTCAACTAAGTGGCTCACCACGTGGAAATTTATATCAGACAATTAATTTTAATAATCTAAACGCACTTTGATTCTAAATGTGGAGTTGGCAAGTGCCCATGTCCGGTGTGTGCTGGGTAATGAAACGTTTCCTACGTTATCGACCGGGACAACCGACAATAGTGCCCTCCTGTACACAAGTCTTTTGGTCAACGTTAGTGGAGCGGTTCCCTTAGATTATAACACTGGTCAACAAAAAAAACATTGTTTTCTGGCCTGGACTTTTGCAGCTGTTTTAGACTAATTTCAGGGTGCTGATTCCAAATCTGATCTCAGATTTGCCCTATCACATCTCATTTTATGCTATCGGTGTACCCCATTTTCATTGATTTTATCCGAAATTAACTCTGTCACTTATGATTGCAAGTTGTTGCGAGTCAGTGACTGATTTAGTGTTAAAATATGGTGCTGTATTTTTAGGATAGTGTGTTTATAATATCATTTTATATAGATATCCACATTTATTTAATATTTTTCTTCTGCAGTTTTTTTTAATGCAATATTTGATACCCTAAAATTACCTTAAAACCGTTGGAATACCTTATGCCAGAAAAAGTGTGTTGACCAGTGTAATACTTCCAACTAAGGTCTAATGATGTAGATGCTCACCCCGAGCCCTCGTTACTTTGATAGTGCAGCAAACAAAAAACATACTATGATAATATATTGGCGTTCTATGGTCGAGCACCAATTGGTGTGGACCAATCAGTTTCAAGGACAATGCCAATATATTATCATAGTATGTTTTTTGTTTGCATTTTGACTGCAAGTATTGTGGTTAATGCAGTGACATGAATCCTTGTAAAAGGTTTCAGTTTTGTTGCCAGAAAAAAGGGGAAAAACCCCAATTATTATGTCTGGACGAGTTTTCTTCAAATTTTAAAACGAAGAGGTCGCATTACTAAGAATAAATAAATACCGTTACACTGTCACCCTGCGGTACAGTACATTAGTTGATGTATATGAATGTAAAGAGCTTGTCAGCTAATCGGATTCCTCCAGCCTCCACATCTGAATATGTAAACAACTGCATTGCGTGTCCGTGCTACCATTTCAACTCGCGTCTTCAAATTCCGGCAGCCGCGATCACATTTACCACTCCGCTTAAGCACGCCCGGGCGGTAGCCCCGCCCCCCTTGTTTCACGTCGCTCGACCAATGGGAGGGGGCGTAACGGAAGCGGCTTCGTTGCGGGCGACGTAACGCGCTCGCTGATTGGTCCCCGCCCGCCCCGCCCCCCTGAGACCACACGGCCTGCATATTAATGAGGCAGGGGGGGGTGGCAGAGACGATTTGGTGTCTTCCATGAAACTCACCCCTCGAAATCTCTCTCTGGCAGTGTCTCTCTTTCTCTCTGTGTGTGTGTGTCCGTGGGGCTTCTCTCTGCTCGCCAAACCCAACGAAGAGGTGGGACGAGGGTTCGCGACGGTGCACTAATTCATTGTGAGTCGTAACTTTTTTTTCTAAATGGTTTCATTTATTGTTGTTTTTAATTAAGTTTCCCCCACGCACAGACACACACAGCCTACCCCTCGTTGTGACTGCATTGGTTGAATTGGACGAGTCGCGGGCAACACGTGTGCGCGTGTAACACGTGCAACAGCTGGTGCACACACACACACACGCGTGTCAACGCGTCGGTACAATTGTTTATTAAAGTGTATTCAAGTGTACGGTATACACAGAGGAATGTGTTACTAGACCACTCTTGTCGATGCTGTGCGTTGTTCGGGAGCTAAAAAGCCAATATCGAGGACTGCTAGCCACTTAGTGGGCTTCAGGAGAGAGCCAGAGGTTCGTGGAGTTTTGCTTTTCCTACAGCGGCATTAATATACAACTTCTAACTACACCAATGTTACATGCGCCGTCAGCGTGTTATACAAAACAAGTGTGTTTATACAAGTGGCTTACTGTGTGTGTGTTTACACATTGGACACTTGCCATGCTAGTGTGTGTGGCTGGCCATACAGCACAAACACAGCATTGCTGTGTGACACTTTGGGAATACATGAAGCAAGTCGTGTTGTAAGTGTATGTACGCACGTGTGTATGTTGAACTTCTTTCGCACCGTACGTAGCCAACACGTGCTAATCGTAGGTACAATAACAACAACTCGCATTTGTAACTGAGTGGCGCACGCGTAGCTAAACGTTCAGTGTAGAATTACAACTCGGAGAACGGGGAGGAGGAAGCAATGAATACGATGGTTGTAACTAATAATGATCTCCGTGTTGCCAGCGATTTAGTCACAAGATACGTAGCGATGTTTTAACGAAGACATGATGCCCAAGTATCATACAAATAGCAGGTAAAGTTAAGCGTTAAGCGCCCTGAATCAGTTTGCTGTGTGTAAAACTTGGTTAGAAATGGTTAAAACAAAAACAACTACTATATTTTTGGTACATTTTCTAGGGATGCCATTCCAGGTATGGTATTATAGGTTAACTGCCGTGTTGTTTTAACGTTTGGTATATCGTCTAGAGACCTGGCTAACAGGAATGTAGTCGGCATCCTGTAGTCAATTTTCGATCTGCTTTGTTTTGACCCCGATGTAAATTGTCTCGTGACTTGCTTCCTGGTCGAGTGTTTGTTACAAGATGTGTCTTTGTTATAAAGTACAAGGTCGCATATCCACCGTGACCAATGAACCGACTTACACCCCCAGTGCAATGTTTGTGCGTGCTGTAGTAACTGGTCATCTGTAGATGTTCACATATCCATCCCATAGCTGCCAACCCATTTTCAGTGCCCTACCTTATTACAGACCAACTCAGACCTTACTGGTCGCCCCGTGCTCTTTATAAATCTCAGCGTTCATCCGACAAAGTCCCATCACAAGGGAGAGAAACACAAAGACAAAACATTTTTTTGGCCGTATTGAAACGTCTGTACGTCGTATTGACCTGAACTCAATTTCCTTATCCAGGAATACGGGGTGAACCGGATGGGTTGACAGGTATGCAACCTTGGGTTGTGCTGTGCGGTGTAGCGTGAGCTTTGATTTTACTCTGTTTATTTTAGCAGGTAAGCCCTCCCCCACTGAGCTATGTAGACCTTTTTCAGAAGCCACCTGGCTATCACAAATAATAGCTCAACGAAGTGGCTTATCATCGTGTGGAAATGTATAGCAGCCAAATACTCTTAAAACTCGTCATGTTGATTCTAAATGTGGATGAAAAAACCGGAGGACCCGGAGAAAAATCCGCGTGACCACAGGGAGAGACACGCAGACTCCAAATATACAGCAGCAGCAGGCGTCAGGATCAGGATCGGGATCGATACCCACGACCTCCTGTATATCAGACGAGGTAGTTAACATCTCATCAGTGTCAGGATCGAACCCACGACCTCGTGTATACCAGACGAGGTAGTTAACATCTCCTAGCCACCGTGATGATGATGATGAGAGACACGCAGACTCCAAATATACAGCAGGGTCGGGATCGGGATCGAACCCACGGCCTCCTGTATACCAGACGAGGTAGTTAACATCTCCTAGCCACCGTGATGATGATGATGAGAGACACGCATACTCCAAATATACAGCAGGGTCGGGATCGGGATCGAACCCACGACCTCCTGTATACCAGACGAGGTAGTTAACATCTCCTAGCCACCGTGATGATGATGAGAGACACGCATACTCCAAATATACAGCAGGCGTCAGGGTTGGGATCGAACCCACGGCCTCCTGTATACCAGGCGAGGTAGTCAACATCTCCTAGCCACCGTGCCACATGTTGTATCTTCACGCCCTCACCCGTATTGCTTTACTCCCTGTGGCTTTTTGACCGAGTACATTCGACACAAGGCCGGCCAGTGTTACAGCGTGGATGAATGTGCCAATGTGAATGTGTCTGTGCATGCTCCCATGTATTCAATGCGTGTTGCAATGTGGCAGGATATGTTACAAGATGATTTCACCGCTGCCAACAGGTGTGTTTAAGTCACCAGTATAGTTATCTCGTGAGACCAGATAGAATAAAAGCATAAGAAGGTCTCGGCTTTATGCTTTCGTGCATTGTAAGCTTAAATCATTTAATGAGTGTGGGAACTGAACACGGGGTTGGAGTTACAGAAGCCAACACGCAGGGCCCCTTTTATCTTGATTTCACGAACACGGATCATTTTACACTATGGGAACCTCATTTGCCAGTAAAAATAATATAATTGGTTTTTTACCCTTCTATCTGGCAACAAAACTGACACCTTTTTACAAGGAGTCATGTTTGCATAGACCGCAATACCTGCAGTCATAATGCAAACAAAAGACATAACTCTGATAATGTCCACTGGCGTCATCTGGACCAACCCATGTGAGACTAGGCTCTAAGGAAAGCTGTCTCGGGTGTGGACCAATCAACTTCAAGGACAGTGCACATTATCAGAGGTATGTCTTTTGTTTGTATTATGACTGCAGGTATTGCGGTCTATGCAAACATGACTCCTTGTAAAAAGGTGTCAGTTTTGTTGCCAGATAGAAGGGTAAAAAAACAATTAAATTGACTTCTGTGCTTATCAGCCCGCCGATCCCAGCTTGATGCCGACTTTAATCTGTCGCGTGGAAACATTGCTGCCGCGTATCGGTTTATTGCTGTCACTGTTTATTTTTCACGAACCGTTGCTTCTGTTAAACATGCAGCAGATATATTTTTTTATCTGAATGATTTCGCTGTAAAAATAAAGTGCGGCTCTCTTGAAGTAACCCTTCACGTTTGGTTGGGTAGTCGGGGAATGTTTTAAGAGTGTGATGCTTACATCTCTCCGAAAATTAACTTTGTACTCCTGTGTTGTGGTTATCGAAATTACACAGTAGAACTACTCCGCCGCTTCGTCTTGGTATTGGGAGGAGTGACAAGACGGTCTTATTATTCTGCGCATTCCACGGTACACTTTTCGAGCTTGCCCCGTGTGATTTCGTGGCCACGCTGTTTGCTCAACTGCGCATGGATGACCCAGGTGAATTGAGAGGGCCGGGGGTGGAGGCTGACGGTTGTCTGCTGCCATCCTGGGCCACGACCAAGTGGGTGGGTGGGTGGGAGGTAGGGTGGGTGGGTGGGTGGGAGGGAGGTAGGTAGGGTGGGTGGGTGGGTGGGAGGTAGGTAGGGTGGGTGGGTGGGTGGGAGGTAGGTAGGGTGGGTGGGTGGGAGGTAGGTAGGGTGGGTGGGTGGGTGGGAGGTAGGTAGGTAGGGTGGGTGGGTGGGAGGTAGGTAGGTAGGGTGGGTGGGTGGGAGGTAGGTAGGTAGGTAGGGTGGGTGGGTGGGTGGGAGGTAGGGTGGGTGGGTGGGAGGTAGGGTGGGTGGGTGGGTGGGAGGTAGGGTGGGTGGATCGGCCACTGAACGGCACGGGGAGTTCGTCTATCCTAGCGTCCGAACATTTAGGTTATTTACTTAATTCCAAAAACACCGCGACACACACACAGACACACAATGATAACACCGGATATTGGGATTAATGTTGTCACCACTTTGTGGGTTGTTCAGCTTATGCAGGCGTAAGTGAGGATAACATTTCAAAAAGTATTTTATCTCAAAAGAAACGAATGATGATTAATGTAATGCTCCTTCACAGGCTCCACGGATCGCGTGACCGTTCTAATCACCGCCCCTGGGTCGGCTGTTTCTGTCATGTGAACTCAAACAGTGCAGAAAGTGCTACACATTAAGACAGATTACACTTAAATTCCCTACATTCTGTAGTTAATATTTTGTAATGAGTAAAACGCTTAGTACTGTACGCAGCTTATCTGGAGCGCTGATTAGTTATGTGAGAATATAACAATGACGTAAAAAATAGAGACATTTGTACTGTAATGTAAAACAGCTACCAGAAAAATTATACAAATAATATGGAAAATTATAGTAACTCTAATTGACACGAAGCCTATACGATTTAAGGCTTGCTTTATATGTGTATACGGATAGCAAGGAGAAAATCTGTAGCGTCACTGGATAAACGATAATAGGAATATGGATGTGTTCTGGTCCTTGTCATCAAATTGTAGAGTTCATACTTCACCACTGGCACAAGACTGCCAGGTAAGACGAGCGTTGATAAATTGGGCAAGCAACCAGCCTATGGCGTGTGTAAGAGTTTCTTTTTTTTTAAATAGTGTACATATTTTGAATTTAAACATAGGTTCCAACTTCTCAAGCCGGCACCTTTAGCCTGTAAATTACATTACAGTACTGTGCTGCCCTTTGACGGTTGTATTTTTTTCATATTTCTAACGAAGTACTGCCTTGCGAACCGGAGTAGCCTTACTGAATCGTGGCACCCGTACCATATGGGTACACGGTGAGACGAAATGTCCTAATAATGATGATGATTGCTGTACACCATAATTTTGCATGTGACATCTAAGTACAGTGAAGCATTGTTGTACCGTGTATGACTTGGGAGTGGCAAGCATAGGTTGTGTTTCCCTGAAGGCCTGCAATGG